CGTCCATTCTTCTGCGTTTCTTCAATAATCTTTTTCACCTCTTCAGCATAAGCACTTGCTGGATCTGGGTGGTCTTCCCTGTATTTCCCTCTGTAGATATCTGGAGAAGGAGCCTGAAAAGACCAATTTATTTATTTGTTTTCATGAAGGCAATACTTCTATGAAACTTTTACTTTGTTTTCTATTATTGCACTTTATTGGCTTTTCACACAAATAGCTAATGAGTTAGTACAGCCTGAATTGCAGAAATGCTTACTGGAGCTTAAACTCAATCTGGGCCTGTCATGCCTAATCCAATATTAGTGAACACAGCTGTTGTAAGAACCATCATCTACCTCATCCACCTTTCAAGACTGTCCTTCCTCTCCCTCAAGACACAATAATGAGTGCCCATCCACCACCTTATTTCAGATTCTCGCAGAAGATCCCTTTCAGCAACTGGACAGTAGGGTTCTCCAGTCTGTCACTTCCCTCCTGGCATTTTAGTCATGGTACAAATCTGTGAGACATTCAAGCTTCTACAAATGGTGTTAGGAGCCTCTACAAATGGTGTTAGTCACTGTCTCAGTAACTGAGAGACAGAAAGTGGTGCAGAAAGGTGGATGCTACTTTGGCACTCTGGTTAACACAAGGAGGTCTAGACAGGAAAGGCCTGCTTGGTGTACATTTCTAGACAGAGAAAAATTTTTTGTCTTTTTAAGATGCAGAAATTTGTCACTCCCTTAGACACTCAGGAGTCCTATAATCCAAGATGTGCAAACTTCTGCAATCTGCATTTCCAGTTTTGGAACTAGACTCAAAGTCCTGCATGTCTTTAACCAAACCAATGCAATGGATATTGGCTAATTTCATCAAACTGTGTAACTATACAATGCAGTGACTAAAAACCTGTAGCACAATGAAGGAAGTGTTCAGCCCCACAGCTGAGCACCTTCTTAGAAATCCAAAAGCAAACAATTTTGCTGTACTTATTCCAGTGAAATCAGCTGAGCATATGCATAGTAGCATCAGCAACACAGAATGAAAAATATTTACACTAGAAGTGGGTAATACAATATGCTGCAGAACAGGCAAAATTACAAAAAAAAAACCAAATCCAAAACAAAACATGCAACCAAACAAACAAAATTCCAACAACAAAACAAAACCACAAAAACCCCCAAAACAAACTAAAAACCGTACTTACCACATGCACATACTCCTTCTTGCTGTCCTTTCCCAGCTGATTAAATTTATAGGGGCTGATGTCGATCAGAGATGTAACATGGCCATGGTAAGCACTGTGTGAGTGTTAAATATCCAAGTCACTTTTCACCAAATGTAGAGAAGAGCCGAATTTACAACTATGCCTATACATCATCCAGAACAGCAACCATATCTGCATCACAGCAGCATTGTTTGTGAAGGGATCTCGATTTAATTTTCTGTCTTTCCCTCAAAGACAACATGAAATTGCTGTTGACTTTAATTCACTAGCAAGACTGGAAACAGGATAAAACCAAGTGCCAACATGGGGACAGACCAAGATGATGTCTGGACTGCACTGATTTCCTAGAGCAGGAAGGGGGGTCCAGCTGCTTCATTTCCAGCCCACCCTGGCCAGCCCAAGCTTTGCAAACTAGACCCCACCACCACTGGGAAAACTCTCAGGAGTGTGCATGGCATGGAGAAGTGGGGACCTCATGCAGCAGCAGCCCATCACTGTCTGCCCTGAGGGCATTGCAGGTGAGAGGGTTTGGCAGAAGCCACTGTCAGGAAAAGGATTTTGTTGGAATATAAGTGTTTTATACTGCAGAGTATGCTAAAGCTGGTTACTATTGAAGCCAACTGATTTAGAAATGAGGGACTGCAGCCTTTTGAGCCTAAAGCATGTAGCATCTTTATTCAGGGAATAGTAAACACTTTTGTTCAGCCATAAATTTGAAGTGAATCAAACCTCAAACCAAAGATGTGTCATGATTTCTCAGTAGAACACACATAGGTTAGTATGCTGCTTAGAGGGACCTGAATATAGCTGAGTCAAACCAGCTTTGTGCTGCTCAGATGGACATGTGCCCTTGCATCTGCTCTGGCTGGACTTTCTAATCACAACCTGAGAAGAAAATAAAGCACTACAGCAACATCACCAAACCCACAGTTGCATCTAGGACAGGAAAACCATGAAATGTGGTCAGGCACCTACCCTGTGGCTGGCAGCCCTCCCAACACCTCCTGATTTTGCAGTCCCTTGGTTTTGTGTGCATACTTGTGTTCACTGAAGGAGAGCTGAGCATCATTGCAGCACTGCTGCAGAACTACAGGATCTTTCTTCTTGACCACTGAATATTTATTTGTGCAAAAAGAAACGTGTCCAGCAATGCGTGATGAAGAGAAAGCACTTTTTCCAGAGCAGCCCAGTAGCCAGACCACTCACTGCTTTTGAAATCAACATTTAAGTCTCTGGCATGAATTGCTCTGGGAGTCTGTGAGAAATGCCCTCTAACAGGTGCCTGACCTTCTGGGGTGACCGACAAGCTTATTTTTCAGAGATCTTCAAAACTTGTGTTTATCTAAACGTGAAAAAGGGATTTCCTGATCTGTTCTAATACAAAAGCAACAAGGCTTTTCTTTCAGCAGGCAGTGGAGCACAAACAGCAGGGGGTTGCTGCAAAGCTGCTTCTGAAGCAAAGGCAGGAGCTGCTGGCTGTGCTCACATAAGCTGCTCTGTGTACTCACTTTTCCAGGGTGATCACATCTTGGTGCCCACGGTACTGCCGAGCCAGCCGCAGAGCAAGATCATTCGCTTCAGACCTGCATGGAAACAGACACAGCAGCAAAGCAGTGAGGGAGCACTTCCAACTAAAAGGGTATCCTCACAGAAGGCAAGGCATGGGACTCATGGATATAAGAAATCAACACAGCAGACTCTATTGCTCTACAGATTACACTGCTAAGGTTGAGACTATAAGTGCCATGTAAGGGGGCAAAGATAAAACAGCCCTTTGTAAAACAGCAAACAAAGAGATGCTTTCTTTCCCTCCCCCAGTTTGCCTGTAGATATTTACCTCCCCTTGGTACAAAGGAGGCCAATTTGCAGCTGAGAACACAGTGCAGTCCCTAACCCTCAAAAAGCCATGCTCCATCTCCCACAGTCCACAACTCCTTTCTCCCCAGTGCCTGCACCATCACAAATCTGTACCCTGGAAGAAGACTCAAGCTTCCAGCCTGATCTGTCACAGCTCCTCTGCTCACAGGCTGTCTGTTTTGGACATGTAAGTGATCACAGACTACCAATCTGCCTAAAGAGGACTAACTTGCTTCCAAGGTTATTTGTCAATTTACAGAAGGCATTCTTCAGTCTGTACATAACATTCACCAATTTGCAGAATTAATTTTCTCTTCTTGCTTTTTTCCCCCCACTTTTTTTTTTTTTTTGCATAGCATTCAGAAGGCCAGTTTCATGTTTTGGCTCTCTTGCTTGGAGCCATCACTCTAAATATGATGGCTGCAAATAGGAAGTAAGTTTCGATCAGTGCTGGATATATTTTTGTTGCAGGTTACTAAGTCCTCCTTCATAAGATTTAGACCAAGCTGTCCTGGGTGTCTGTCTCAAACAGGAGCAAAATAGTCATAAAGAACAGTCATTTAAAAAACCACAACTCAGACCTACCCAGAGTTAACAAAATAGCAAACAGAGAGTTTCTCAGGCAGGGTGGCTGTGAGTCGCTGTGCATACTGAACAAGGTTGTCATGCAGGAAGCGAGAGTTTGTGTTGAGCAGCTCCATCTGTTTTGTTGCAGCCTTTATCACGTATGGATGACTATGGCCCACTAAAGAAGAAAATTATTAGTTATTACTATCAAGCCAGTTCAGTCAATTACTGAACCACACAAGGATGTTCAGAGAAGACTGTGAACATCACCACATGGCAGAAATGTGTCTTGATCCCTACTGGAAATTGAGGAATAGAAGCAGTCTCCCAAGTCAAACTGCTTACCATGTGCAACGTTGTTGATGCAGTCTAAGTATTTTTCTCCTTTCTCATCAAACATATATTGGCCTTGAGCACGGACTATCTTCAGAGGGTCCTTGGCATAGAAAACTTTGCAGGAAGGCCTAAAATATAATAAACATAACACCATTTTAATTTTCACACTTTTTCTCCCTCCTTTGAGTGTTGAGGAGGTTGATTTTTTGCAGCTCTGGAGACAATTACCTCCTTCTGCAAAAAAAAGCTAAAAGCCTGTGAGTAATTCAGGTGGTGGTCAAGCAGGGGCTCCTGCTCACAGGGAAAACCCCTGCCTGGGGGCAGGCACAGTGGGAACAGAAGCTGGTCTTTAATAAGGGTGTTTTCAAAGCTTGATTCTGCCTGCAATTGATTTCACAGGAGAACAGTGTCTGCACGTCGTTCCAGGTCCTTATATGTCCTGCCGTGTTCCTGGGCTGCAGCTCTGCTTGTTTACATGCCTTACAGACATCCATGGCCAAATCACTCTCTGGGACTAAAGGAAGCTGTTAAGCACAGTTTTATACTATAGCCAAAAAACCCTTACGCAATGGAGGGCTGTAGCATATAGAGGTCACAGTCAGAAAAGAACAAACACTAATGCCTTGCAGGCTTTATTTTCAGAGGTGCTGAGCAGGTCCTAAAACCCTCACACTCTCACTCTGTTTACTTTGGATAAAAATCTTTAAAAGCAGCATTTTATAAGCATCGCAATCACAGTGACTTCCAGCAAAACTCAAACTCCTTATAAAATTCCCCAAAGTACTCTTTGAACACTCTTTTATTCCCCCTCCCCCCCCCCCCGTTTCTTGGAGAATGTGCCAGCTATGTAATTATGTTGAATGACATTACTGAGCAGAAGGAAAGTCTTCTGAACATTTAGCAGTGTTTATATCAACTTGGATAAACACAGTTGTTTCCAGGTAAGTCTGAGAGTTATTGTTGGGTATACTGAGGTTATGAACTTGTAAATGTGACTCCTGCATAGTGAAGCAGTTTGCTTTCTTTCTCACAGCTTCTAGCCGTGATGCAAAGCCACACAATTTCCTGTGCTGCTGATACATTCTTTTTCTTGATCAGTGTCGGTCACAACCTCTGGCAGCTCCCTCAGTTAAACTCAGCTCAAGGAACAGCAACAGGTTCATTCAGCGGACACGGCTGTTTTGCAGGTGCACGCACAAAAACACCCCAACCCCGCGCAGCCTCATTTCACACACACACCTGGGTACCACATTCCGGCCGCTTGCTCTGATCTGTTGGAAAAGCGAATTTGATGGGCAGTGCTCTAATGACGGCATCCCTCCGCCCGCCTGGGGAACTCCGGGCGGCCCCGAGCCCTGGCAACCCAGAGGGATGGCAGCTCCTGTGTGTGCCCATGTCCCCCTCCCGCTGGGTCCGGAGGGGCTGCCCAGCGCTGGCAGCCCCCGGGCAGCGCCGGACGGGAGCTGTCACAAAGACAGACCTTCCTCCTCCTCCTCCTCCTCTCCCTCCCCTCTGCCCCGCTCCCGGTCCCGCCGCCGCCCCTACCCGATGTGCTTCCTCCGAAGGGCGAGGGTCTCCGCCTTGCTGTAGAGCTCCTCCATCCCGCCGGCAGACAGGCACGGCACGGCACGGAGAGCACCGTCCCTCCGTCCGAGCCGCTGAAGGGCTCCCCGCCTCTTATCCCGGCGCCGGCCCCGGGCAAACCCCTCCTCCCGCCTCCCTCCCTCCCGCCTGCCCCGCCGGGACGGGACGGGACGGGACGGGGCAGGACGGGACGTCCCGTTCCGACCGCTCCCCCATCCCCATCCCCCTGGGCTTTCCTGTCGGGGGGACTCGTGTTTCCTCTTGAGCTGAGGCGGGCCAGCCGCGGGTGAGTCCTGTGCCTTGGAGCTGTGCTGGTTTTTAGGTTTTGTTTCTGTTTTTTCCTAGGAGTGCAGAGCAGCACAAGTTGGCGGAACAACCGGCTCGGTGCGTGGGGACGGTCCGGCTCCCACTCGCGATCCTGCCATTCCTGCCATTCCTCGGTCATCCTTGTGGCCACGGCGCCACTGCCACAAACACGCGGGAGGGGGGTGAGGAACATAAAGCGGAATATTTAATCAAAATCAGGGCCATAATTCACTGTTCCTCTCTGCCTCATGTCCCCAAATCTGTTTGTAAGAGTAGGCTGAGGTATATATGCCCATCAAAGCCAGTGTCACCATTTCTGCATTTCTTAAAAAGTGAGGCAAATTAGTAAGATCTACAGCTTGCCAGGTTTTGTACGTGTACCTAAAGAGCCGTGGTGCTCAAGTACATTGGTTCACTCTTAGGTCCAGGCAATATCTAAATATACCTAGTCCTTGATCACTTTGTAACCACAGAAGCAAAAAAGAAGTGACTTGCTCGAATATGGTATTTCTGCATGGTTACATTGATAACCATTTCGCTGGACATCAAAGCCCACAGGAAAAAGAGGGGAGAATAAGACGAGGTTGGAGGGAGCGGAAGGAGGACAGAATTCCCATCAAGAGACATCACATTTCAAAACAGCGAAGAAGCTGCTGGTAGAGCACCTCGGATTCACCTTCTCGCTGCCAAGCACGCCCCGTCTCCTCTGGAGGCTGCGTGAGCAGACAGCACGAACACTCGCCCACAGCCCTGCTACCCCATCTGTAGCTCGTCTGTGCCACCTGCAGCACTGTGTTTGGAAGAGTTTGCAGAGAGCATATGTAAAGCCACACAATTTCCTGTGCTGATAATACTTCCTTTTACTTGATCAGTATCCAGCAAGTCATCCTAAATTCTGCATATTGAAGAAACACACTTCCTGATTTTTACTTTTTAAAATATCTCTGCCAGCAAGCCACCTTTCTGCTTCTCTGGACAGCACTTCTTTCCATCCAGTCATTTACTTGAGCTTCCTCAGTGTTAAATTTGAAGCTTTGACATTCTATACTCCTGCTCCATTGGAAACCTTGCCTCACTAGCCAACAGTAGCAGAAGTCATAGCAGCTCCACCTCTATATCCCAAGAGAGACAGCTGCTGCCTCTCTTCAGTGCCTTGTCCAGACAGAAAGACATAAAAAGACATAAAGGAATTGCCAAAACTGTCAGGTAGGGCAGTATTGTACAGGCAATGAGGAAATTCATTGATGGGTCCTCAAGAAGAGAACAGGCATTTAGATGTGCTAACATCCAAACAGAGCCAAGGCTAGAGTCTGTCAGGAATGCTCTCTGCAATGCTTTTCCCTTTTGCCTGCACCTCTGAAACCTGGGCAATGATATTCAGCATGGGGTGGATGCAGTTCAAGTTGTACTACTCCTTACGTACTGACTTAGCAGCAACCCTTGGTACCAGCACAGAAGGGCTGGGGCAGGCAGCATCCAAGCCTGTGAGTCCCAAAGCATTTCAGGAGAGATGGTTTTCCCACACGGGGCTGGTGCCTGCCCTCTATCGGTGTTGAGCACAGCCTTGTCCCTTCCTCCAGGGCTGCTGCCGATGCCAACACCAGAAAATCTCGGCTGTTTATGCTGATGTGCCTCGTCTTGCTCATGTGGAAACCCTGGGCCACAAACAGATTTAAGGTATATGCAAAATATTGAGCTGCTACTTTAGAAGCATGCACTGACAGCCTGGTATTAGGGCTTTTGTTTCAGGTTTAGCAAATGCAAGTCTGCCCACAGCTAACTTATAACAACAGCAAACCTCACCAGGAGACCTTGAAGTGGGAGATTGTTTCTCTGTTCCTTTAAAGCCTTTAAAGAAAGGGTCGTAACAATCAAGGAAATATCCCTCCCTCTTGGCTTATAATTCTTTCATGCTCTTTTGATACTATGAGCAGGAGCAAGCCTGCCAACTCTCACGTGTGGAGTCTGTCCCAAGATTAGCAGAGACCCTGACCCACACACAGGCCTCTGCAGCACCACTTGCCCTCACAATGCTATGCAGTAAATACTGCCAGTAAATACTTCATGATATATAGTAGGATTAAAACAGTTTTTTTTTTTCTTTTCCAAAATACTTGTGTTTTTGTAAAAAGCCAAAAATACAAACCAAAACATGCCGTTTACTCCATCCTGCTCTGTTTGTCTTATGAGCATTTTAATTTTCTTTCTTTCACGCTTGTTTATGGGCTTTGTCCTGGCATGGTACCAGAAATCAGCAGCCTGGCATCCTGTATGAAGGATGAAAATGAGTAAATATTTCTAACAGTTACCCAAAGTATCCAAGTAAGGTGCCTCTGGCTACTGACGTAACTGTGAAGGAGTTACTCTGAAAAACAATATATTGCTGGTGCATCCTGAGACCTAAACCCACTGCAGATGGATTTGCTGTGGAAATTGATCTGCACCAAAGATCTGTTTCAGTGCAGATTTAAAGATGGACAAACCATAGCTGTCTGCACCTTCTCAGGGACAGGCAGCTGCTTGGCATTTGCTCTGGAAGGGGACTGGACTTGCCTGCGAGTTCGTGCAGTGACCGGTCCAGCAGGGCCCCCAGTCAGTTCAGCACAGGGTGTGTTGGCAACACTTGTTTTTATCAGCTTCATCTCAACCAGAATCAATTACCTCACAATGATTTCAATATACCAAATAGAAGAGAGATCCTAAAAGCTGGCAAAAAGTTACCAGATACTTGTTAGCTCCAGGAGGGAGCAGCCAAAGGTGATGTCAGAAACACCTCGTGACAGCTCCACTTAGGTGTGGGCACTTTGGAAACTCAGTCAAGCTGTAACCTGCACGTAAAATAACAATCAGGGTATTTATTAGCTATTGAACATTCTGTCTTGGTGTAAGGACATGAAATAAACCGCTGCATCCTGGTTATGTGACAGGAGCATGTCCACAAACTAATTCAGCTTGAGTAAAAACTATACTAGCTGACAGAGATCTCTCTGAAGAGGTTTGTGTAGAGTATTTTCTGAACTCTACTGGTCATATACATATATATTTATATACACTCATATTTATATGTTCAAGTAGACACCTGAAGACATTAATAGATAGACAGATAGATAGATAGACAGATGTACACAAATATATAGATATGTATATATGCAGCAAACCAATGTATTTTTTTTACTACATCTAGGAGATGGGAAAGTAGAATGCCCTCCAGCTGGAATTTTCCAGAAGCCAATGGAAGAGAAGACAAATCAGTAACCCTGGGAAGACAGAACCCTGCAACAACATGACATGTTTTGGCATTCCCTTGTTTTCTTTTATTTGGGTGCAGTTGTTACTACTCGCTGGAACATGAAATGCTTTGTCAGCTCCTTAGTTTGTTTTGGGTTTTTTTTTTTTTTGTTTGCTTTTTTAACCTTTATGTGTTATTATAATGGAACCATAAGGTGAAGCTGTGTGAGAAGAGGACATAAAAAGCCATTTCTGTTGCCTTATTTTTTATTTGGGTAGGAATTAGCAGGTTTAGTAGGTCCACAAGGCAGTTACATAATAGCCTATAAGTATTTAATTAAAAAAAAGAGGCAGAACTGGCAGGCATTTCACATGCAGTCCTGCATGTGCTCTGGCACATCACACAATTATGCAGGAGGCATGTGAATGGGGGGCAGTGCCAGAGGGAAAGTCATGTCCCACGGCTGCAGGAGGATGGGAAGGCTGTAGGGTATTGGTTACCTGAGGTTTGGCCCTGAAGCACCTAAAGGGAGCACAGAAGTGAAAAATAACATGGAAGCTATCAAAGCACGGAATGGGAAACCCACGGGTGTTGGCTCTGGCAGCAGCTCAGAACACACGTTTGTGCTTTGGCAGGACATCTAGAGCTGCATTTCTCTATGGAAGCAGAAGAAAAACAAAAGCAAGAGAAGGGCAGGAGTGGCCCAGCTGAAGCAAGGACATCACCTGGGCCAGGCTGCCCAGCTGGGGTGGCAGCGGCACTTGGAGCCCTCGGGGCCACGCGCTCAGCCTGGCAGGGCACAGCACGTTGAGCTGAAGCACCCGCCCGGGAAAGGGAGCGAAGATATTTTTAGTCCTTCCAAGAGTCTACAACAGAGCTAGCCAGGATTAATGGACATTTATGGGGGTTAGCAAGAGTTAATAGGAGAGGCCAAACCTCTCCACCTACAATTCCCTCCATCTGTACTTACTGCATCTTTGAGGTGATGGAAGGGGAAACAATATGGAGTGTTCTGTTTGAAATATTTTGGGATTTAGAAAATCCAAACATTTAAATAATGTGTTCAAGAAATTACAGCTGCTCCTCAGTGTTTTTTTTGCCTTTAAAATATTTTGTTCAGGGAGACTCCTGCAAATGTATGTCTTCTTAAACCAGGGTGTTTAGAAATATACCATTTTGTAATAATTATTATTAATATAATAATTATTACAAAACAAACTGTATCTAAGGAAAAGAGACCCTCACATTTTCTAGCTTGCACTGTTACTTGTGACACTGCCTGCACATATCTTTTATTTCTCAGCAGTTCAGGTTTATTTTTCACCTTCAGAACTACAGAAAAGGGAGACTGGAGATTTTCAGCTTTATTTCTTTAGATCCCAGGGGGCCTCTGAACTTGCCTAAGCAATAGTTTCAACTTCTGGCAAATACACAGATCCTTGCAACTTCCCCAGAGTGAGGAAGGGCTCCAAGCTCTGCAGTAAAGCTTCTTCCTTAGATAATTTGAGACTGCCAACAGCCTGTGCTGCTGTTTAGAACAGATAATGAAGAGACACTGTTTTGAAGGGGAAAGACATATTAAGAACACGAAGAGGAAGGTGAGTTTTCCTACTGCACACGTGGCAGAGGCCCTGATTTTTGTGTGAATGTCTGACACAACTTGGTCTAGACTTCAAACTTCAGGTTGGCACAAAGCAGCACACACATTTTCCAATCCAGACAGACTAGAACAGTTTTTTGCATCAACATTAAGAACTTTATAGCTATTCAAAATCAGCACCAATGCTTGGATTAATATTTTAATAATTACACACTTTTTACATTATGAAAATAAATCATAAATAGTGTAAAAATAATTCTGAAGATCAACTTCTCACAAGCAAGAAACAAAATCTGAAGTACAAAACTGAAAGAAAACAAAACAATATTCAACTGAAAAACAAGGAGAAATTTTAATAATAAAAACAAAAGCATGCTGTTTGATCGGGTTCAATTAAGTCCAGACCAGTGGCCACAAGAAAGTGGTAAATAATAACAAATTAAAATGGGTGATTAAAACCTTGCAATTCTTTACACTACTCATCAAAAGAGGTCTTGTGACATATTTACAGTGCTAAGACACACAAAATATTTCTAGTATTGATAATATGATGCTGACCCATGTATTTTCCCCCCCAAACACTGAAATCCTTGCCAAATTACTTTTCTTTGTATTTTTATCTCTTCTACTTCATTTATGAGACCATTTGCAATACAAAAATAACGGCACATATAGATGAACTTAAAAAAGTAAAAAATACAAATAAAAATATATAATATTTTCCAAAGGAAAAAGTCAGATACATACATCTTAGCAACATTTTTAAAGTTGTGTGATATTTTTCCAAACATGTACAATAATATAAGAATATCCACATATATGTTAACAATATGTAAAACATTCTTCCACCAACCCAACTCTCCATAATACTTCAGGGAAGTGTGCAAGTACCAATGGGATCTGGGAGATTAATACAATTTCTTTTTAAAATAGAAACAAGTAAAACACTAAAACACGGTCCCAGGTTAAGTTAAGGCCCCCTGCTTTCAAAGAAAATTCAATTTCCAAGCAGCATTGATAATTGGATGCATTTAAAAACAAAATGAAACAAAAACAACACTCCAAATCCCTTTTAAAATACAAACTCCACTTGTTCTGTAGAGTATCCTTTTCAGAAATGATGGTGGCAGGCACTTGTTTCTAACTGCATTTAATGAATCCAACCACCAAGTAATTCACTTTAATAACAGAGGGTGCAAGAAAACCTTCATTTGTACATTACAGCAACATTGACATCCATAAAAAGACATGGCAGAAAAGAAAAAAAAAAAATCAGTGTTAAGTTTTAATTCCAGTCACTGAAACAGAATTTTTACAATGGCTACAAATTAGACTTTCGTTTGACCACTATCTTTGCAGATGTGTTTTGTGTGAGTCTTTAGTGTGAAAATTTAGGAATCTCATTAGGTAAAATACAGAGATTTAAAAATGTAATATAAGATGGTCAAGCAGCAGAGGTCAGGAAATTTGAAGGGAAGGGTCAACCTCTGCATGCCTTGAACCTTTCCATCACTTCCAATAAAATAGGCTGACAATATCTCTGCAGTTCTTACTGAAGTAGCCCTGATTCAGGCAAAACCCCACTGCTGAAGGTGGTAATCTCCCCTCATTACAAAGTGTAACACCTGGGTGCTCCCTCCCGTGTGTCTCAAAGAGCTTTGCAAGGAGAGGGCTCCTCTCTGTCCCCTGCCCTCGCTGGGGCTGGGGAGGCACAGCCAGGGACAAGCCCTGCATGGCTGAGCCGGGATTGCCATCCCAGTTCTGGGGCGGCCAGTGGGACACCTCCCTCCTCACCCCGTGGGATCCAGGATCCCAGCCACGTATCCTGGCACAGCCCCCAGCCCTGCAAGCAGCACCCTCCCACCAGGAGCCAGCTGATCTCACCTGGGGTTGCTCTGTCTCTCTCGTGGGCACACGCACCCTGTCCACGGTGCGATGCTCACTGGGGCCAAAGCTAACTGTCCACACCATACACCAGCCTTAAGAATTACTCCTTTTCCAGCTCCATACTTTACACACGTGCTAATAAATGGATCTGATTATTTTGAAACTCTTTCATACTACTTACACCATAGACTGAAAGAATATACAAACAGCTGGATGAAGAGTATCATTCTGCTTTGCTACACTATCAGAATACCACATCACGACAGCAATAAATAAAAATAGAAATCAAAAATACATTGTATCATTGTTCTGTGACTTAACATCTCATGCTTTACCTCAGGAAAAAGTAAAGTTTTCCCAAGCATCCTGAAAGAAAGCTTTCCCATAGTTAGTCCATGAATATGAAGACAAAGACCATGTATGTCAGACATATTCCATACAGTGCTTGAAAGATTTGCGGCCTCTGTAGCAGGACTTCTGCACAATGTGGCTTTAATGCACTGGAGTAACAGATAATTACAAAACTTCATATGAAACAAATACTGAAAACTCTCAAAGAAACAAGGATTATTCATACCTGAAAAGTCAGGGATATAGAAACTGTGTAGACTAATCCCACTACACATTTCTACAACTGAAAAGAGTGGTAGAGGAACTACTGTTCCTGTCACAAACTAAACAAACCAAATCATATCTTCCTGCAGGAATGCCACTAAAAGATACAACACACTGGCAGTTCAAACTATAGCTTTGCCATCAAAAGGAAAAAGATATACTAGCACCAGAAATAGTTGCTTCTTGAACAAAACAAACACGTTGCAAGTCTTCACAGGGTGCTTTTCTTAATGGAATATTAAACCTAATTTTTTCTTTTTTTCTTGTACTGACCATGCAACTTTTCTAGACATTTTTAAGTTTCATTTCAATTCAATCTGAGATGCAAATATTAATGCCAAATCTATGTATGTAGTTTAACCATTCAAATGAAATTGTTTATCTACTGCTCACTCATGGTTATTTAAAAGGAATGAACATTCCATGATACTGAACAACACAAAGGCTAAAAAAGCCACGTAAGATTATTTGAAAAGTATTCCTACCTGCTGAAAATTCAATAAAGAAATTAATTTACAAGACAGAAAAGAAAGCAAATGAAGGTGCTGAAGTGTTTCTTCAGTAGGGTTTCAGTGTCAAGGGAGTTAAAGGAGACTGAGTTTTGACTAACATTTAACAGTAGCATCTATAATTATTTTCTGAATGACAAAACCACAGGCCAAAGCTCTGCTAGCTTTATTGGTGCATATAGAAATGGATGCTAGGAGGGCAGTTAAAAAATGTAAGTATACAAATTAAAAAAAAAAAAAAGAGAAAGGAAGTGCTAATTATTTATCAGCATTATTTATCTTGTTGCTGTTTCTTAAATTAGTTGTGTCTGTGGACAGTCTCAATATGGAGTTGCTAAATCATCAAGCCAGATAATAAACATCCTACTTGATTTTGCATGTAAATACTCTGAAGGACCTTTAAAACATATTTCATCTTACTGTATTGATTGCCAGTATTCGATATCTTAACAAACATTCAGCTTCTGGTGTTCACATGTACCATCCATGCAGCCAAGTCAGGACACGGCATGAGCGACACCGCAACAGGTTGATACTTGCATCTCTGAAAATTCAGGGAAAGCAAAACATATTTCCTCATTTCTATGAACACTTGTTTATTTCTTACTATTGGAAAGAAGGGATTGAGCAGTAAAGATACACATGTATTCAGTGTATAGTGTGAGATTTTTGTTTTAATTAGAAAGATAATACTAATTGGAGGCCACTAAATTGACTTTTTGCTTTAAAAATCTGGGTTTTCCTCAATGAAAAGCTGGGTTTGACTCCAATATACCAAAATGACAATAAAGATTAATCAAAGAGAAATATTCAATTATAGTGGCATTTCCATTGATCTGAGATTGTGAAGCAATACAAAAAGTGTGACCCCATCTTCACATGATTTAGAAATGATGGAGCCAGGAAAAATGTGCGTTTCAAAAAGGGCATAAGGTGCCCTCATATGAATGGAGACAAGCTGTCTTCTTCAACTTAGTTTTGGTCTACATATGAAAGACAACTTCTCAAAAAAAATCCTCCTAAAAATGGGATGATTCTGCTATATACATTAGGAACAGAAGTGATATAAAAAGAATTTCCATCTGCCAAATATGGCACCATTTCTCATAAATTATACTCTCAAACTAACTTCAGTGCACCATATGAAGACTCAAAATTGTAAAAAATATCTCGTGGCAAAACTACAAATGTGCACAAATTACATATTTCTAGCGTTAAAAAAAATGGTGGAGAAGGAAATGTTTCTCTAGAAAGCCATCTGAACAGAAAGGGAGAAAAATCAACACATCAACAATCAACAACAGTGGAGCGTGGTGACAAGCGTGCAGTGATGATCACACAGAATTGTTTCTCTCCAATGGTTTTTGAGCAATAATGTCCACTAAAATAACCGTAACAACATAAAAGGAGCAAGATGAATACATCATTCTGTCAAACATAAAAATAAACTCTTTCTTTTCTAGACTTAAAGGCTTCAAAGACTCTGAAATAAAAACTGTTAATACTGAAACAAGACGAATATGTGGCTTGAAAGTATTTTCTTCAATGCCGTCATCACAAATGTTGAATAGATTATTGAAATGCATTCTTTATGGCAACAGAAACAGGAAAAGGAAACAAAACCAAGCATTGCTTCCAAATTCCCGTAGAGAAGTTCAGCTAGTTAGGTGTAATTCAAAGTGAATAACCTGAAAACCACACCATGATACATACATCTCAGGTCAGTTCCACTGTTATCCTCCTCTGGAGGATGATCTGATTCATCCCCACCTCAAGAGTGCTTTCTCCTGCAGCAGTCCCAAAATACAACGTGCAGAGTGCATACACTCTGTTCGTCCTCGAGTGAGGCTGAGAAGCATCTGGTCTCAGGCGGTGTCTGCCATCAAATGATCCCTGCAGCACCTCTGTAACCTTTTCAAACAACCCACAGAGAAGTCTGGTTTCTTCTTCAATCTTCTGTCCCCCCGATGAAGGACTCGACAGGGCCTATCGTGAATGTCTTCACGGCTGTGAGCAGTGCAAGGCAAACCGATGCTGATCAACAGGCGGGGCGCTCTCTGATCCAAGGGGCCAAGTATCCCGCAAGAATGGAAGCCATCCACCTGCAGCTGGAATGCTACTCCCCAAAATTCAAGGCCTCTCTCTACGCTCCTCTGGTTTATCTCTTTTTAGCAATGAGCCATGGTGTGACTCCCTTGAGATGACAAGAGGAAATGACTGAGAAGCTGGAATCAAAGGCCACCGTCAGCAGCCACTCACGATCACATGGCAGGCAGGTCTGGCACACACACTCATGCTTTTAGTGCACACGGGCAGATGCGGTGTCATGGATCAGTGACGTGCTTAAGATGGACATGGAAGCCAAGTCAGTAAACTCCAACAGCAGCTGGTACAGTACATTTCATAGCATTTTGCTCTTATTTGGTCACAATTTCTTGTAAACTAGTTCATGGCACTCATTGTCCATGCACATCCACAAGCCAAAATATAAGAATTTACAGAAATATTAATTTCTATTACTGATCATTATTTTGAGATCTCTCCCATTAGAGAGACAATTTTTGCAGGTTTATCCTGCAGTTATTGTATCATCTAACTGCAGACGTAGGTGAAAAACAGATGTATGTATGGACTATTGCAAACAAGTAGAAGCAGCTACATGTAAACATATCTCAGACTTGTAAAATCAAATTTTCAGTTCTCAACTATAAATAAAAAAGTGGAGCACTATATACACAACTTCATGCTTGTAAGGTTAGATTCATCACTGCAAAAACAAAAAGAGATACAGATTAATCAAATTAGTAAGATATTTCAGACATCTATTACAAATACATAGATAAGGCAGAGTTGCAAATATGGATAGTTATTTTCTCAGCACCAACTATTCTTCAGAGATAAATGCACCCAGGATTTCACTTATGCTTCATCTTTTCTGATATATTATATGCCAGTATCCCTCCAACTACATTATTCTGAATGCTGTGTTTTTAAATCAAGCACTATCTAGGTTAAATATTTACTAAAATAATGTCACCAGTTAATATTGCCATAAAATACAAAACTCAGGAGGATTTATTGAATAGAGAAGAAAGGCAAAGAAAAGGTCAGGATACACTGTCCTTTTCAGTATCCCAGAAAGCCAATATAATAACAGATCAACAGATATATTTGACAAAAATGCCACATCCATGACCTTTTATACTGAGTAGGAAGCACTGATTATCTGCAGAAACCAAAGGATGTGTGAGCCTTCATGTGAAAAAAGAAAAGTCTTGGACTTTTCATAAAACTAATGCCAACTATTTCTACAGTACTGCCCCAATGAATTGTTCTACACAAATTACAACACATCACATCAACTACTGTCACGGAGAGGTCTGATCTTGCATTGCTGGATATGTCTGTCTAGGAGGCTCTGAAGTATATCTTGATACTATTCAGTATGATTATGACAGGCATATCTGTGTTCTGAGGACATACAGGTCCTGAAAAGAAAAAGCTCTGCCCATCCTACCTTTTGCCAACAGCCAGGCATTGGTAATCCATCAGGACCCTGTTTCAAAGGGAGCAAAAGGATGAAAAAAAAAAAGAGAATCAGTAAGTTTGACAGGATAGATATTTCATCAACATCTGTTAGAACAGCTGAAGCAGCTTTGACTTTCTATCTAAGAAGTAGCTACCAGTTAACTTATTTCCTCTCTTATTCTCAAAGTGAAGGAAAAGCCAAAGGCAGGAAAGTTTACACTTTCTCTGCCATAAAGATTTGCACTTTTCTGCCATAAAGATTTGGGTTTTTTTTCTAGATCATTAGAACTTCTTCATCAGTTTCCTATTGCTACTAGACCACAGGCTACATGTTATTTTAAATATAATCTGTTTTATTCACAATAATCTGTATCTGAATGTACAAGATCAGTGAGAAAAAAAAATACTATCACTTTTATCTGGAGAGTATTATGTTTTATGGGCTCCTTGTTCAAAGGTCACCCTGTGATAAGGACTCAAATGGGAGTAGAATCTTTTAACTTTCAATATCAGTTTTTGAATGAAGCAGCAAAATCCATACCTTGCATGCCACAGTGGAAGAAAACATCAGCAGTGGGAGCAGGACAGCACAGCACCACTGATTATTTCAGTGCTTAGACAACATGGCCATCTAATTTCTTCTCATGTTAGTAAGAATCTCTCCTTCTCATGTATCATTTCTACCTTCATGTATCGCCATGCATCCAGTAAGATCAGGGCCAGCTTCTGACCAGAGTCATACTGGTTTTCATGGATCTAATTCCAATTTACATGGCTGCTCAGGGTTTATTCAGGGAGTTATTTACTCAGAATTAGGAGCACATACAATATAACTAGACTATGCATAAACAGAAGAAAAATCAGGCCTTTAGAGTTCTTAGAGTTTAGAATATCAATACCTAATATTAACCTACATGTAAAGATAATGGTTAATATGGGTTTTTGAATATACTTGCATGTGGTCCAGTGTGAATTACTTGCTACCTAAACAAGAGACAGTGCTGCATGCTAAACAGCTTATTCTAGCAATTATCCACAAACAGAATATTTTTGATCCATCAGCGATTGTTAGTGAATCTTCAGATATAAATGATAATACAGAGACAGAGAAACATTTTTAAATTCCAAAAGCATGCTTGATTATCCCCAACAAAATATGAGATATGGTTACCATTAATTGGAAGCAAACAACATGGACTATGGAATAATCTTAATGGACTATGTATTTACAATTAAAAAGCGAGTGGCTCCAAATAGAAGTGCTATAGTCAAAATAAAACCTACTTAAATTTAACATTCATCTCAGAGAACCGTGCTTAACCACCAAACAATATCAGAACATGCAGATCGAATTTTACTGTGAACAATTAAAAAGAAAATCCTCCTTGTATCTTTAGGAAATGTGTATATCCTATTCATTTGGGGTTTTCTTTCTTAAATGGAAAAGAGCTCCAACTTACTTTACCACTAAATAAAAATCATTGTTGCCAGATTGGTACAAGGGAGAGGGTCAAGAAGAAGCATTTTAGTATAGGTGGGAACTTGAATTCATGCTAGCATAGGGTGGGGAGTGTTGTGTGTATTCCAGGAGGGTAAGTTCCAGGGGTAAGACCATTAAATTGAGGACATTAAATAACAAAGACAATGAGGGTTTGGGCTGCAGACCGTTATATTCTTACAAACATCAGGTAAGCTTTTTATTTCCAGATGTGTTTGAATACTTTGATGAACAGGCCAGACACCACAAACATCACTTGTGGATGGTCTGGAAGCCAAGTTCCAGCTTGGCTTACCGAAAACCTTGATTTTTAGAAACAGTATTTACATTCCTCTGTTTGTGACTCTCATTTTGGCTAAATTGTGAAAACATGCCCCTAAGATGGCAAGGATTTGGGAGGAAGACCAGGGTGCAGAGTAGCTATGGGACAGGCCAGGGTGTGGAACTGAGCCAGTGCAGACAGAAGTCATCAGACTTGATTAGAGGTGAACGTTGTGCTGGATTTCTACAACTTTGGGTTCAGGGTGAGTGAGGCAATGGGTATTGTGCGAGGAAAGTAACAAACCAATGATTCTCAGGGAAAATGTAGGAAGGGCACAATCTTATAAATTACCAGGTGATGTGGGAGCAAATTGCTGAGAGTTAGGCTTAAGGTGTCAACAAAAACGTGTGTTCTCTCACTGCAGTTATGATCACTCGAAGCAGCTGGCTTGTTCATGCACATGCATGTGTTACATGAGAAATGTAACGTCAGCTCAGAAAAACATTGCTTTACATTGAGAATGGCTGACTACAAACAAAGGAACTGCATGCAGGGTTGGTAGGAAAGAGAAATACTGTACCAATTGGCAAGGGGCATCCAGCCCATCCAGGCCAGGCTGGCCTGGCTCCCCTTTTTCCCCCTTAATTCCACGGAATCCCTGTTTGTAAAGATTAACTTGCAATGTTACTGTCAAAGAAATGCCTTCAGTATTGACTTAAATGGAGTGAACAAAAAACAACAGAGAGGCAAGAGGAACAAGCTGACTGCTTATGATTTAAACCTGTGGGGTACTGATTCTGGCACATTCCAAATCTGGTTCCTTTCCAATGTATTTTGCAGAAAAAAATGAAAAAAGAAACCCAAAAAAACTCACTATCAAAACCTCACAAACTCAGACCAAAGTTCTTAAGTCTGGTGCTTTAACCCCTCCCCATTAGGAGGTTTACAAAGTCTGCCCCAGAATTTGCACTTGAGATGAAGCTGTTAACAAAGGGCAACAGGTTAGACAGTAGCTGGTGCTTGTTCCTCTCCCCTCATCTCTTATTCCATCAGTTTACAGCAGGATGACTGATCTTCCAATACACAAGCGAGACGTACCAATGGGCAAGGTGCATCTAATCCAGGAGCACCCTGTTCTCCTTTCTCCCCTTTAGGCCCTTTTTTGCCTTTCTTTCCCTTTTCCCCCTGTGGACACAACGGTTTGGATAAAACAAGTTTCATTCTTTTGAAAAAAGAAAATAAAGAAAGATTGGGTTTAAAGTTTGGGTTTTTCTTTTTAAGCCAATGGAGAGCTGAAAGGACACTTACCACTGTGTTCAGGTTTGGATGGTGCATTATGTGGAAAAATAAATTATATGATCACAAGCAAGAACTGCAATCAGTTTGTATTAGTTTGTGTTGGTATTTCATATCAGTATTATGAATGTTTTGAAACCTAGAACAGGGCTTGAAATAATTGATTTCTTGAGACAGAGGCAAATCTGCAAATCCCCCCAATCTGCAGTCCAAAATAAGAGGTCTCAAATTTTGGCCAGTGATAGCACTGAAGGGTACATGCTCACTAAGCTGAACTTGTCAGCTTCCCAGAGGATTTGCCACTAGTCAGAAGTAACTTTGGGAGAGCAGAATCCATCAGCAGAGTGTTCTGATACAAGACCTGTGGCACAGATGCTTCACAGGGATGACTGACTCAATTCCATCAGCTTCCAGGGTGTCACATCAAGGGTGAACCTGCCCAGGAGCATCCTTTACTAACTGACCCTCTGCACTCTGGTAAGAGTTTGGAACAAATCCTGTTCTCTGTGGTGTCCATAGAAACCCATGGACATCACTGAGGGTGCACTGCTGTCACTCCAAATAAAACACGACCATTTCAAACCCTGTTACAGGAATCAAAACACTCAAACTGCTTGATGGAGAGGTGTTATGACACTTCCAACAATTTCACACTGTCTTGGCATCATAAAGTAACCAGAGTGATAATTAGATTGTTTATTTAAGCATTTCAACATTCAAATATTCTGTATTCTGCAGGCAATGTTTCATCTATTTGTTTTACCAAAATTCAATCCTTTGATTTTACACTGAGCTTTCTTTTTAAATGTAAAAATTCCAGTGCTTTAATTCTCAGGGCAATTAGTTGATTCCCCTCAACAAACCTACCTGTAAAGATGACCTCACCTTCAAGCAGTGTAAGAGGTTTAGAGAGTTCATTTTATAATTGATTTCACACCAGTTGATCACAATGGTAAATGAGTTTCAGGTTGCTCTCAATTTCACAAAAATCAAAAAGGGATCACTTAAAAAAAATAACAAATTGGACTAGGATTGTAAAAAATGGGATAGGAAGGATGAGTAAATCAGGATATCACAAAGAAGTGAGAAAAATAGTCATAGGAAAATTAGTATAACATCGGAGAACCGGCAAGTGAGGTTGTGGCTATTGGGAGGATTTAATTTGTGAGGAAAAGGGTAAAAAAGACAGAGGAATTGTAAGGAATGAGGGTAGAAGGAGAAGGAAGGAATGCCCCTTTGGAAAGACAGACGGATTGTGGTGAAGCAAATTAAATAGACATTTAACTTGTTCCACACCACTACAGAAAGGCTTAATCCATTAACAATAGAGAAACCTAATTTTATATTTAAAAAACTTTATATAAATAATATTTTAAAAAGGAAGGAAAGCACATGCATCATTTCATATAACAGCATACTTGACACATTCAAATAAAACAAAATGTTCCATGAACAAAACATACTGCATCCATGTCACGATGGAAGCAAAGTTACTTGTCTATCTTTTCTGTGTGCCAAAAGGTCACAGGATAATATTTGGAAAAACAGCAACCCAAAATTGCCAGTCCTTACCAAATGCTAATTGTGATCAGGATGATTCCTGACCCTAGGTCAGCTCAGACCAGACCAGGCTCTGCAGTGCTCCTTGGGCAGGGGTCCAGCCCCCTCTCTGGACTCCCTGTCCCAGTGCTGTGCTGTCTTCCTTGTGAACAATTGCTCTGAACCTCTCAGGAGCACCTTGTGGTCCTGTGTTTACTCATTTGCAATTGCCCAGAAGAGTTTTGCTCTATCATTTTTCATCTCCCCTTTTGAGTAGTTTGGCCATCCCATTGTCAGACTAAGCCAGTCCCCCTCCTCCACTCTCTGCCACTGGCTGTGTTCGCCCCAGACCCCTGCCAGCTTGGTAACCTTCTTACTCTGCAATTTTTTCATGAACTGTGAGGCTCAAAAGACCATCTGCAGTATTGATGCAACCTCACTGGAACTCATTAGAGAGGCATAATTATTTATTTTATCTTCTGGACACAACTCTTTGAATGTACCCCAGGGTGAGAACACACTGTTAAGCTCACTCCATTTGGCACCTGCTGTAACTCCCCCTCAGCACAAAGAGCATTTTGACCATCACCTCTCTGAGCTAGCTGTTATCAGTTGCACCTTTAGACTGACAGCTGCTCTCAAGGAGAAAAGCTGTTCACTGGTGGCAGATGGACCTGTACTCGGGCAGCAAGCAAGGGCTTCATTCATTGTGATTACTCTGCCAGGTCAAACACTGCATTTACAACATTCATGGAGCACCTGCTTAAACAACTGTTGTTCTGCAAAATCAGTACCTTACCAGTGATCTCTGAGCTCAAAAGAAAGAGCAATACACCAAGGGACAAAAGGGAAGGATGAATTTCATCATATCCTTTTCAATGCATTCTTGGGAAGTGTTTTGCCTGACCAGATTAAGAAATGGAGATGAACTCTAACACTCATGGTGACTTTTTAGCCTTTCTTCTTTTGTTTAGGATACCATGAGAAGTTAATCCAGCCCAACCCTGCATATGTCAGCTTGACTAGAATATTGGTCTGAGCTAGAAAAATCATCTGCTGCATGTATGGACTTTTACATGAAGTGGCTTGGTGTGAGTTTTAATTCAGCAATTTTAGCAGCTGGGCTTTGTGCTGGATATAAATGGAAGAGATTTGCTCATGAAGTTTCTCTACACTTACATTAAATCCTGCATTGCTTTTTCCTAAACAGATTTCCAAGTCACTTTGTCTGGACACTGAAAATAAAGTCAGCTGTTTCTGTTAACTTCACTGTCTAGTTGATTTACCAGAATGGTAGAATATATGATTCAATTTAAATCCAAAAGTATCACAAAGTCCTTAACTGCAAATAAAACTTTGCCAAAAATAAAAATTTAGACGGTTCTTGTCTTAGACACTTGGTGTGGAACAGGTAGCATGTACAGGCATGTTACACTAGGATCAACCACTAGTGTGCAAATACTGCCAGGAAACAGAGCTGAGCTCTTCAGTATAAAATCACTACCACAACAACTAATGTCTGCTTTAAATATTTCAGGATTTTCAACAAGTTCAGGATGAATTGGAGAAAACAAGCCTAAAAAAAAAAAAAGGGCTGTGCTTTGGGACATTTTGGTATTTTTAGTCCTATACATACTTTTTGTGGTTTTTCATGATTTTGCTCTAGCATGTATCTGTGAGTTGCCTTTTGGCACACAGTAAAAACAAAGGTAAGTTTTAATGGGACAATTTGTAGTGTAAAGACAGCAGAAGTGATTAGCTGAGGAATCAAGCAACAGTTATGAACACTATGGTCACCTTTTCTCCCTTTTCTCCTATATCACCCTTTTCTCCTCGAGGACCAGGGAAACCCTATAAAAACAAAGCGGACAAAGATAGGTTGACTTTTATTAACATGCAGATTAAGTTCTCAAATACTCCTGGAAAACCTAAAAAGATGATTTCACTACATGCTCTGTACATATATTATGCGTGGACACATGCAAAGACAAGTAAGCCACAGAGGCTGGTAAAGACATTTTTGCAGCTACAGAAAGAAATCATACCACTCAAACTATCAATCATCCATGCTACATCCAAACTAGCAATCGTTCATGCTACATAGCTTATGTGCATTCTTAAAAAGACTCCTCCAAGTTAGGGATTTCAGTGTAGGACTACAGAAGAGGACTTTCACTAAGTCTTTTTAGCATGCAAAGGAAAGAGCCTATGTTTTGAAATATATTCCTTACTATGAAATTATTCTCTTTAATTAGAATAAATTTAGTTAACCAAGTGCTAAGTGACCCCTTGTTCTTCTACAAATGAGTCATCTGAATATATTCTTAGCAAGCATTTTTTCAGCCCACTGACATCGAAAGGACCAAGTTCTGGTATTGCTGAGCGCCAATATCTGGGGTGTCTGTCGATAAGGGCTGTACATTGCACAATCTTTGTCCTCTTCAGCACAGAGAAAGAGCAAACACAGCACTCAGCACACCCTCTGCAGGTCCTGCATGCACGTTAAAGGGCAGCAAAGGCCTTATGCCCCACAAGGGATCCTTGGCAGACTCTTACCCACCCCTGAGGGTGCCCTGGTCACACACATTACTTACATCAAGGCCAGGCTCGCCGTCTTTGCCCTGCCAAAGAACCACAGGAACTGCATTAGCTTCCCGCAGACAAGGACCTGCTGCCCATGCTTAGCATTTCCAGGAACTGATAACCTGGCTGCAAAATTTTGCTTGACTTTAAAGTCTGCAGGCAGATTCCAGGAGCAAGCTAAAAATACAAAACCAGCTAAAAACCTATAAAATTTTATTTTTAGTTCGCAGGAATGGGAAACAGAAATAGGATTAAAAAAAAAAATTAACTCACAAAGGTGACCCTCACATAAAAATGTGTGGCAAGCTAATTTAACACTCCATGGAGCCTGAAAACTGTCTCCAGCCATGACTCCTGATCCAATTAAATGGATCCAATTTAACCACAGGTTTGTATTTCAGCTTAAATTAATTAATCAAACGGATTAGACTGGAGAGGGTATGGAAACACTAAAAGTCTCCTGGAAAGGCTGATTGTGCCCGGCCAAGCACTTTTACATGACTTTCCTTGCGTCAAAGTACAGAAGAGACTTGTGTATATGTACACACCTGACCCAGTCATTAGCAGTGTAAAAAGGGAAAGTCATCTGATTTTATTGGGGATATCGTTGTCAGGCCAAAGGAAGTTCTCCCTCATATTTTAGAAATGGATAACATAATTAAAGTTATTGATTTAAAACAAATAATTTCACCTATGAGTGAGCAACAATGAAATTGTCACGTAACTTCTGAGTAGATGGCACAGAAATGAAAACAAAACAGGTCTCTGAAGCAACAAACAAAACAAAAACATAATGGCGTAGAAACGCTGCAGAATGGAAATCCAAGCAGCAAACTGACACAAAGAAATTCTCAGCTTTCCACAGTTCCTCCTGAACTCCTGGCACTCTCACATTGTCCCCAGGCAGCTAATGGCCAAAGGCTGCTGAACCAGGAGCATGTGCATTCTGCATCTCCTCTCCCTTGCTGGTTCATGTCAGGTCTGGTTTTTTACGTGCATGGGTAGAAACCCAAGAGTGTGACACAGAACACTGACCTTGCACTGTCAGGGTTTATTATCAATCTCTGCCTTTTCCAGCTAATTCTACTGCTAGGTGAAAATCAGCCATAAAGCACACAAAGTTTAATCAGGGAGGGATGAAAAGTGCAGTGTGTACAAACTCTGTGCAACTTACAGGCAAGCCATATGGTCCTCTGGGTCCAGGGTCACCTACAGTTCCCTTCTCACCCTAAGAAAAGATTACAGAACAAGCAAACAAAAACATTGGCTATCTTAGAAATTATCTCTACCAAGTGCTTTAGGTTAAAGTTTATGCATTCCTAAGTATTTTGAGTGAAAAATATCCAAGCTCATTTATTTTCATTAAATGTTTAAGGGAGAAAGAGAAGGTGTGAATTATCACTCTTTCTAGGAAGAATGACTTTTTGGGCATATGATATCACATTCATTTCTAAATACGTTAGTAGCTGAAAATATGTTTCAACTGAACACACACTAGTGTCAAGTTTAAGCTTCTGACAGCTTAATGTTGCTCTTAGTAAAAATCCAAAGTTGCAATGAAAACTGAAGATATACAGCATCAAGCTGTATATACACACAGCAGCTGAGATGACACATGTGACAGGCAAAAATAATGTGTCAGTCAAAGCTTGATTTAAGTAGGCAATGCTATTAACAGTGACATTGTGAAGATTATCCTGTGCACCGTGCTGTTGCTAAATCCTCTACTGGATTCTAGATACGTGATGTAAATACTCTGGTTTATTAAAATCAAAACAACCGTAATAATACGCAAGACAAACAAGTACAGAGATTTCTCCAGAAGTCTGATCTCATTCTGCACTAAAATCCATGGAAAAATTACCAGTTTCCAGAGGAGTGCTGCCAAAGTCATTTTGCAAGCTTAATACAGGGTAAACTTTTCCAAACGGAATGGAATTTCAAGGCGACGAATTTCAGGCTGACAGTAATAATCACCTTTGCTCTCTAATTTTTCTTTATCAAGATTGATATGAAGTTAAGCTTCCCAAACCAGCCAGGACTAGCCCATATAACTGCAAGCACAGGTCCCTGTGAGCTTGGTAGGGAGTCAGGGCTGGGAAGAAGGTGTGGAAAGCAGTCTTGTTTCAGACTGTTCTTTCCTCTGAATGAAATCCACCAGAAAAGCATTTCTCTTGGAGAGAACTAAACGGCTCGAAATGTTGATGTTGAAATGAAAGAAGAAAATCCTGACCACCTCTAGTTTTCAAAGCTCCTGCTCTGGATTTGTCACGCAGGGTGACCTGGATCCCTTTGTCACCCCCTTTGGTGAGCACACCCTAACACAGGTTGCCTGCAGGGCTCATGGTGTGCACAGGGGCTGTGTTTCATCCTGGCATTTGCTGCACTTATGCTCATGAGAGAATTCACTGTACAGCATCCTCTGGATTATTTACTCCTTACCATTATTTCATTAATGACTCTATCACTAAAAGCACAAGACAGAGATGTAGATGTCTCCACAGTAATCACCACTAATTAATAGTGATTACTGGCATAGCCAAGCACTTGGCACAGCTCTGAAAATGGGCTGCTATGTCTAAATTTCATTGACTGAATTACACAAAAAGGCAGGCACCAACACCAATGGGACCTTAACCTGTGGTTCAATAATCCCAGCAATAAGGAGTTTGTCAGAGTAACTGACATTTGATCTGTTCTAAATACTTTATATTTTTACTTATGTGGGCACTTGCTTTAGTCTAGAGCTAATGAGATGTGCAGTGTCAGGCATTTCTGGATTCTGCTGCTCCCCTGCTAATTTCTGAGCAGCTTTTGGGCTGGATGCCCTGGCAGGACAATAGGAGGTATTGGGAACTAACAGCTGATTTTCAAAACAATAAATGCCTTGCAGCTTTAAAGCTTTCTGCTACGAAGAAACTAATGTGCTGACCTATGTAGGTAAGAGCTACAGAAATCTTTGATCAGGACTTGAAATATGTCAAGACCAGTTAAACTTTTTTTTTTTTTTAATCTTCAACAGCAAGATGACTGTACAAAGTCTTCTCAAGATAGGCTTATAACATTGCTAAACATATGGCAGACATAAAAATACTGAATGTATCAGTCTAGGAAATAATCACATCTGTTATGTAAGAATATATTTGAAGAACTGTATCTCAGAATTTTTTGTGACCAATACAAGGCACATGCTGAAACATGTTTGGAATATCAGATGAGGTCCTGAATGTTCATGGATTATATGAGATTAATGGACTGTCATGAGCATACTGCCCTAAACCATCACAATTTCCTTCAGAGTAGCAGATATTAGCAAACTTCAAGATTTTGTTCTAAATTTATTTGTGAGACAATCCATCAGTGTCCAAAGAACAGAAAACATAATGTATGTTTTTGCATCCTATTTCACTTCAATCTCCTGAATCATGGACAAATATGAGTTACAATTTGAATGAATAAAGCTGAATAATCTGTGTCTCCATTAGGATAGACAGGGAGATTTCATAACATTGTTATGGTGAGAAATATTTTAACCAAATTAAAGAGAATGCACTTTAGCTACTAGTACTAACCATGTGTAATGATGACAGTGCTGCAGAGGCTACACATCTGAAAGCTAAAATCAAGCTCAAAACCAGGCCTTTGTCACCAATGGAAAGAAAAAAAAAAAGAAAATGTTCATTTCCAGCTCTCAGATTCCTTTAGCTGGTCAAGAAGCTGGATATACATTATGCCTGTCATCACCCTTCAGGCTTACACATCCCCTTTCATCGCTAGAAGCTGAAGATATCTGTTTTCCAGTGTTCTCTACTTTCACTCAAGACACTATGCGAGTAAAAATAACAGGTACACAGTCAGATTCAGAGGCTTATTATGACCCACTCCTCCATTTAAGAAAGATGGTCTCAGTAAAATCTCTCTAAGCACTTGGCAAAATGCAATTCTAATAGCTGAAAATTAGTAAGAATTAATAGACACTGTCTTCATAAATTGTATTAATTCACATTATTAATTACTCTTTCAGTTTCTACTAAAAAACACATAAAATGTGTCATGATTTTCTTATTCTACCTTGTCACTGTCTAAACAGACTTTGTATAAAGATGATCTGACATTTTCTATTTTAATAGTTAATTGAAAATCAGCAACTCGCCCTAATTTGCACAACAGTTTGCTCTACCTCAGAGCAGTAATTGAGCATCTCCTCAAATGCAGCCTGTGCAACAATGAATTCATGATTATTCTGTTAAACAGCCCTAATGCCCTCCTAGATTTATAAGATTTTTCTTATCAATACAGACAAAACAGGGCCCTATCCAGTGACAGTGAACACTGGTCCTATGCACTGTTTTTAATTAAAAAGTAGAATCTGAAATCTGCAGACAAAAATGTTTCCCTCCTGCTTTCACATAAACAAGTTCAACAGTTGCAAATGCAAGTTGTAAAACAGCATTAAAAATACATGATTTGTTATTTAAATAACGAGGCATATATCAACACTGTGCACCTGTTACATAACTGTGCTACAAACAACTCCTCCCAAATGGTATTGAATAATTAAATGAACAATTACAGCAACAATCTTGCTAGTTGCCTGCTTGGGAAAAAACCCTTCCATCTGTCTTGTGAACTTCCTCCCATTCATTTAGCTCCACAGAAAATGGTGGGTGTGTAGGAATTTTCTGCACACCTTGGTCTCTCTATTTTTGTGAAGTTCTCCCTCTGCGCTCATGCAATTACTGATTTACATCACAGCAATTCCTATCCCCTTTTCAGCTAGCTACTGCTTTTCCACAGCTACAGTGGGGCTTATTCCAGATCTAGCCATATGACTTCTCATGACCTTGAATACCCTCACAAGAAAAAAACATTAGTAGCTGTCTTCCAGAGACAGAAAGAATAGTTTATATTATATTTAATTGTCAAAGACATTTCAACTGGTAGTACGCATGCATGTCCTTCAATATAAAAGGTCATAATGCAAGAATAAAATGTATTGTATTTTATATACTTCTACATGTGTATCTCATCTAAATTTTTTACTTAAGATTAGAGGATGTTCAACTATTTTCCACAGAGTTGACAGAAGATAAATATTGTCCTGATTGAAGGAAAAAAATTGAATCAGTAATCCCCTAGAAAAACAAAAAATACTCAAGTCCTTCAGGCACTTAAGTAGCCTTAAGAGGTAACTGCAGCCCACTGTACAGTTTAATCTGGACTGTGCTGCATGTCTTGTATTCATCCCTCAGTACACAGCCCTGTAAAAATGAATCTTACCTTTCTCAGATGAAGCTAACTGGACCTCTGCCATGTGGCTGTGTCCTTTTTACAGCTAGTCTGAAGTTGTCATAGCACAGTTGTTTTGTTAAAGCTGTTTGTTTTGCTGTTTTGTTTGAGGAAGTCAAAGAGACAAAAGTTCTGGACTGGTAACTCCTCCTGGAGGTTTTAGGATATCATCTTCTGGTTTGTTGTAAAAACTGATGGTTGTATTGTTAAAGGTGACAGGCTTATAGTTAAAGATTAGAGCTCCTATCGTATTTCCACTGGAGAAAATTTACTGTGAATATTTCAAAATTAAATAGCAGGGCTCCTATCTAATAAGCTTAAAAAAAAAATAAAGCTTAAATTTTACAGTGGCTGGAGATATTTTCCCTGATAAAAACATTTAAGTGAATAGAGGAGAGAAATACTCCTTTTTTTTTTTTTCATTGCATTCTTATATAATCAGATCACACTATCTTCTTTTGTACCAGCTTGTTCTCAATTTGCACAACATAATGAAACCAATGAAAATCATGTTCTGTTTGTGGCACTGTGAACTAGAAAGTCCAGTCAATTTCTCACTGATTAGTCATTTCAAAAGACAAACTCCCCTGAAGTTAATGAGTTACAATGTCAATCTCAAACAGATAAATGTGTGTGTGAGTAGAGCACATATCCAGTTCTGGGCTGCTCCTCCCCAGGTGAGACACTGTCCTGTTCTGTAACATCTAGGCAGAGTAGGTGTCTCCATATGACATTTTTCCACTGTGGCAGCCACTTTGCAGGGAGGAGCACATGGAACACATACTTACTCTCTCTCCTTTGGGACCTGCAGGGCCATGGGGACCAACTGGGCCATCTATGCCCTGCAAAAAAGAACAAAGAGGGTAAGAGAGAGGGCTTGTTCTTACAACTCTTTAGTTTCAACAGCTGTCTTGTACACAAGAGCTAACATGGAATCAGTCTTCACTGGTTGAAAATTTGGATTTAATTGTGATGCAATCTCTTTGGCTTTCAAAACTCCACCTATAACCTCTCCTGTTCCAAGGCAGAGTGTTCTATTGGCGTTCACTACATCCACAGAAGCAATCAGATTTGCAAAGATCTTAAATTGATTGGAAGAAGATTGAAGGGTCAAAAAAATATTTTAAATTATTGTTTTATTTTTAAAATTGATTGTTCTTTAAATTGAAATGTCCACCTGTAAGATGGACTTAGCTATTGCAAGGACCAATGAGAATCTTACTTCCAAGAAATAACTCTTTCATTGCATAGATTCAAGAAAGCAAAAGCTTTAACATCTCCGATGAGTAACATAGCAATGTGTGTAGATGGACCTCAGCACATCTGCATCTCCTTCACTGATTCCATATTAGCACTGTTCTCTTGTAAGCTAAATCCCTAACTTTACTCAGGAGAACTAGCAACCCAACCAAGGCAGTTGCCATACCAAAAATCAAAACTAAGCTGCCGTTTAAAGCTTCAGAGCTCCTTCTACAGAGAATTACATTCTCTTTCCCACACACATTGGCCTAAGAACCTGCTTGAAGCCCCCTCCAATGCAGCATGGAAAAAGCCTGCAGCACTTGGCCTTCCTTCCTGAGTGCAGTGAGGAGCTTGGCTGGCAGAGCCCTGGGGAGCACAAAGGGGACACAAAGACAAGGGACTCACCCGGGCTCCTGGCTTCCCGTCTAAGCCAGATGCTCCCTGTGTGTGAGGTGGAAGCATGGATGATGGGCACAACACGAATGACAAGAAGGTGAGATTAGTAAGTGGTGCTGATGAATAAACACAATTCAAACGTACAGTACACGCTGTGACAGGGTTCTGGAGTGGGTACCACATCACTACAGCATGTTAGTTAAAAATTCACATGAAACACCAAGAGCCTGACTCTGTTCTCACTTCAGTGTAACATCACCGACCCACCCCTGCCCTCACATGAAGTATATTACAGCAGAATATTGTCAGGCTGTAGGAGCGCTACAAACACCAGATGTTAGGGTGTTTTTGAGCCTGAACACACAAATATTTACTTTGTCATTTACCCGCATGCTTTCTGATTTGTAAATAGCGACAATACTGAATAGTACACACAAAGGAAGAAAAATGTGTGTTAACTGCGATAGGAAATATTTAAGTGCAAGAATACTACATTATGCAGCCAACAAAATCTGGGTCCCGACCACAATGGGCTCATTGATTTCCAAGAGCCCGGGAGACAATGGCATTTCCTGTTTTCCCGCTACGCTCCCGGGCACGGGCAGCGGCGGGCGATGAGCCGGAGCATCCCTGGGGCCGGGGGGACCCCTCGTGGGCTCCGTGCGAATAACAGGGAATAACACGGGCACGGGGCACAGCGCCACGCGGGACACCGGGAACCGCCTGGGAACACCGCCCGCCCAACACAGCCGGCCAAACCGACCCCCAAGCAAACACAAAATCTCCAGCCGACTCAGTAAAACGAGCCGGGTTTTGGAACGTCAAGCGCTTGGACTTTGCTCCTGAAAATGACATTTAGAAGTAGCAAGCAGGAGCAAGACAAGATCTGTGTAAATTTGAAAAACGTAGCATTTTTTGTTCTGGAGTCTCTTCTACCTTATAGCCATTTCTAGAACCTATGCTCAGGCCTCCAAAGCTCACTCTCTACAGAGATGCAACTGTCAATGTGAAAATGAGCTTTATTTTTCTCAAAATAAATTAAAATTCTCAGTGACGCTGACCTTGTCCACAGGCACTGCACATAATTCTTGAAAATATTAATCAGAGAGGTTTGTGCACCTTTGGGTCAGCTAAGTCTTTTTTCTCCATTTTACTGTTAACAATGTCATCACTGGGAGCAATCCTCATACAATAACAACAGCAAAGAGGAAAAATGAACTCTTTTTCTAAAAAAAAAGAAAAAACAAAACTGCCCTTCCAGCATGCTTTCAAACACATGAAGTATTTTCTATTTTATCAACCTAAATTTTAAGAACTCTGATGTTTCCATATTTTTAAGGTTCTTCACTTGTAAGACAAAATTCATGCCAAACACTCAGAATGGCAATTTTCTAAAGAACAAGGCAAAAATAAGAATCCAGGGAAAAAAAAAAACCCTAAAAAAATGCAACTCAATTCCCTACATCAGTTTTTAGTTTTCCTCAATCTGACTCTCAATTTGAACTGCATAAGTGCAATAAGAGGAAGAATAACTGAGGAGATGGGGGGGAAAGGGAAGACTCCTTTTTTAATGGAAACACCATAGAACACTTGAAAAACAACAGCATGACTAATGCAATGGGGGTGATGACATCCTTGTGACACTGAACACTCTCAACTGACACACAACAACAGCAACAGCAACAAAAAAAAAAACCTGACAGCACTGGGTTTTACAGGACGTTACTTGGGATGATAGCACAGATTTGGGACAAAACAAAACAAGACTGATGCTCTGCTCCAACATGCTATATTCTGTGTATGCTATTGAGTAAATCAGAGTTGTTCATGAGGAGTAGAAAGAGATGTTTGTGATTTGCACTGAAATTGAATAGTTGGGTTTTTTTACTTACTGGAAGACCAAGGGGCCCTCTGTCACCCTTTTGACCTGGTTCACCCTTCAATCCTTTAAGACCATTTAACCCTGGTTCACCCTAAACGTAAAAGTATAAATGCCAAATTTTTGGTGCTATAATGGGTGTTTAAGCTGGGATAGAAGAAGCCAGTCTCAGAAGTAGCTGCAAATTCCAGTTTGAAACAAATTCAACTTTCTCAGCTTACTGACAATTTACATACTGATTTAATAGTGGGCGAAAGTACTTGGGAGGTGTCTGCTTGAGATTTAAATTCTGTGTAAAAAAAATTACAGGAAACTTATGGGTAACAGACTTTTAAAATATTTTCCTAATAATTATCACTACAGTTAGATGGTTTGAATTAAGCATGAGTATCAGGGGGTTTTGGGAATTCTTCAAATCCCATAAACCACCCTATGCAGATAATTCAAACTGAAAGAAAACGTTCATAAAAGTAAGCCTCAAAACAGTAAGTTTCTACAGTGGGATCTCCTGAAAAGTACATTTGGAAGGAGGCAATACTTTTCCTTACAGTAAACTGGAATTTGCAGCAAAATCTTACATAAGGATATTTTAAACCTTTAAGCATACATAATAAACAGTAACAAGTTAAAAGAAACAGTACAGGTTGCACAATGCCAAGCCATTTGGGAGGTCCATGGTTTCTGTGTTCATACAGAGAAATTTTAGCAATGTAAGAAATGGCACTTGTTGTGATTATTAAATAATGCACAGGCTATTACACTAAACATCACTAAAATGACAATACTGGGCTGAGAGTTGCCAATAAATCATTCAATCATTCTCTCATAATGAAAAACTGCATCAGCATGAGGGCTGCTCAGTCAAAGAGAGTACTGACCACACTTGCCTCTTTTGGGAAACAGAAATACATGAGTATTTCATCCAGACTGCTCCCCATGGCCTCATTGCTAGATTTCCCTTTGATGTATTATGTTACCTTATATTATATTCATATTAAAAAAAAAAATCTCAGTAGAACGCAGTCTGCTCCTTTAAGTAACTCCAGACTTCATCTGCCTGCTTTGCACCCCAAGTAGCCATTTCTTCATTCTCATTCTATTTGACTCGATGTGACTTTCAGAGCAGTAGCACTGGAAAGGCTGAAGTTTTGGAAACAGACCTGAGAAATCCCACAAAAGCCTGAGTCTCAGGCCAAAAGCCTGAGGTAAAGGAGGACTGGTGCTAAAATGGAACATACTTGATTTCAAAAAATGATTTATGACTTAGGTTTCTTGAGCCAAGGTAATACAGTCTCATAAGGGGTCAAACCTGTGATTTTCTGTCTTGCAGCTTTAAAAACTCAAAATAAATCCCCAAAACTAAACAAAAACACCTTTTCCTCCTCTTCCTTACTTTTTGAGAAAGATGTGATTAGAGACCCATAATGATTTAAATGATCAAGACCACTGGCCTTAATGAATAAAGTGTCACGCTGAATTTTAGCTTACTGGTGACTACTGAATTAAGGCACAAATTAAAATACTCCAACTCTGCCAAAATTTACTTCCGCTCTCCTGAGCTGTCCCAATGGGCTAAGAGAGTCCCTAAAGAATACCTATGCTATGGAAAATGTTCAAATTGTATTGCTGACCTGTCTGACCATGAATCCAGTTTGGAAACACAAAAAATGCACACATCAGTTTGTGATGGTGAACCAGCATGATATGTGAAGGACCTGGTCAGCAAAATCCCTGTAACAAAGGCCATGGAGACTGGAAGAAGCAGGAGATATGAGACAGCATAAATGAAGATGAGTTTATCTGACTTAATTTCCCAAGCCTGCAACATGCTTCTGTTTTCCAAAGTAATTCCAAGGGCAATGGTAGTTTGCCCATAAACAGGAAGCCAAATAATTTAGTGCCACATTCCTCATATTCATACAAAAAATTGTAATGGACTCAGCTCATGCTGAGGAGAAATACTACTCAGAAACAATCATAGACAATTTAAAAAGCTTTTAAGTTGCTAATATGAAAATCTGCTTTAAGGTTTAAGAATATCAGAAATGTTTATTAAATGAGGTATGACAAAACACAGCTCCATGCATTCAAGAGTAAAACATGACACTTTGCAGGCATAAAGAGCTTGTCTATTCACAGCTATTAACTTACCTTCGGGCCAGGCAGTCCATGAGGTCCCTGAAAATAAAAGGAACATTTTTCATTACGAAAATACACCACAATTTTTTTGGACTTTTTGCTTTGTAGGGATACAAATTACCCCTGTGTTTCTTAACTCTCAAAAGAAAAGCAGCTGTCAATAAAGCAACAGTAAACACCTGATTCTGAGGATGAACCAGACCACTAGCATGTTAACAATAACAGAAATGTGCAATTTGTTTCTCCACCTCCAAAGCATTTCAGGACATGCAACATAGATTTACAAATTAGATCCTCTCTTCAATATTCTGATAACATTTTTAGTAAGCAGGCAATGAAGTGGCAAGAGGGCACAGACAATTTCTAGCCCCTCTGTTCCTCCCAAGCTTACCATGGGGCCTGGAGGACCATGTGGCCCTGGTGGTCCAGGTGGTCCTATCATCTACAGACAAAAAACAATGGTATTAAATCATGCAGAGCAAAGAACTCCCACAGAAATACCAGAAGTCAGGCTGACCCTTGTTGGCAAGCACTTACAAAAATAGCTATGCAACAGTGAACACTGACAGCGCATCTAGACAGGGCTTTAGCAATGGGAATTATTTTGATTTGAAAGACAGGGTACCCAAAGTGCAGATCTGCCTGTGCCATATGGCAGTGTGCCTGCCTCCAGATTCTTATTCCTAGGGTCTATGATACACTTTAAGACACTATGGGGGAAAAATAATAAATCCCCGTAAAACAAACAATACTGAGATGGGATACTTGAACTTTTAATATTTTATGATATGTGCTCTGTAGTTCTCTCTTGTACTATTTATTCTACAGAGCTAGAAGGTGATGATGTGTTATTTTATTCCCCCTCAACACCGACAACTGGAAAAGACACTAAATTCAAGCTGGGCTTTGGAGTAATTTCAAAATTGCCCTTTGTCTCTCCTTTTATTTCTTTTAGCCCACTTGTACCAAAAATTCTCTGAGGTCATTAAAATAGGTAATCAGGTTGCTCAGCATTTAGTGCATGCATATTCTGCACTGTTTTTCCATGTTCCTAACAAATCCATGGAAAGAATTTCATGATGATATATCCAGCTTAATATCCCCTCTCTTCCTGGACTACTCCCAGTGGGTTGCTGCCATAACCTGCAGAGTGGCAGCAGGATGCTAATTCAGGTCTCCAAACTCATGCACTGCTGTAGCAGCTGTCAGTGGCAGAGCAGCAACAAGGAGCACTCTGAAATGTAAGACAGACTCCACCACCTGTGAAATCTCCTGAAAACTGTAAGTCTTCCTTCAAGTGAAAGCAAGCAGAACAGGATGAATGAATTAGTGAATTAATTTCTAATAAACTAATCTTCTCCTCATAGTAAGAAACTCAGAGATGTGGGGTGCCTCCTGTGTCCTGTAATGGCACAGGGCAGCCTCACTGACTTTTCAGAACTATGGCTTCTGAGACCATAACCTCTGCTCTGAGGTCTCTCTTCTTACTGTGCTCTGATAATGAAAGTCACCCACACCATAAAGGCACTATGTAGCAGTTTGTTTGGGCTTTTGCATTTGTTTGTTTGTTTTTAATGCCTTTACAATGCTTTGAAAAAAAAAAAATCAGGAGAATGTCTGGTCTCATACAACTAGCTCACTACCCTGGGTCACACACTTGAAGTCAGTCTAGTCTGGTCCTCACTGGACTATCTGAGATTCCCAGAGTATAAGGTGTTGAAAGAGAGATTATGGTTTGTTTGGGTTTTTTTTTCCTTTCTTCCCCATTTATCTTTTGATTCATTACAGAGCCAGAAGGCGTTGACTGAAGCAGGCAGGACTTGTTCATAGTCACAGAACAGAGCAGAACACAAATTACATATTTAAAATTTCTTAAACTGCATTTAGCTCTATTACCAGAAGTCTGCTTATTCTCAGAAAGATCAGTCATGAATATCAAGTATTGCTCAGAACCAGAAGCTGGAGAGCCACTGCTAGACTCCTGTGTTCATTGCAATGCCACACTAACACTTACTGAAGGACCTTGGGCACCAGGCAAACCAACGTCTCCTTTTTCGCCTTTCATGCCATTGGCTCCCTAAAAATCATTACAAAACAGCATTTATAAACAGCTTTAATCTTACTAGCAACCAATCTAGAAATTATAATATTTATTGGCAAATAATTATCATTTTAAAAAAGAATAACACAGCACACATTTAAAGGAAATCCTTTAAAAAAATTCTGGCAGTACTTAAAAAGTAATTTTTAACTAATATAAACATATGCTTTTATATTGATAGCTATCAATTGGGGCATGATATTTATGACAATTCCTTAAACTGGCACTCCATTCATGATATTGCACAATGGATACAATTTTGAAATTGTTTTTATTTTTGCTGAGAAATTTCATGCTTATGTATATAAATCTATACATACATATATATACACACACACAAAATAGGAAGAATGCATCCCATAAATATTCATGCATTTTTTCTCTCTCCTCAATCTAAGTCACCTAAAATTTCCATTCCAATCATAGCTCCTTTCTCCTTGTCCAAGTTGTCCTATATATTACAAGAGAGGTACAACTTTGGTCAGCCTGCCAACTAATCGCTTTCTACCCAACACAGTATTTTTGTTTCACCGTAAGTGGAATGAAAAGTTCTGACAATCTTACACCTCCTCTTAGATTTGCTGTGAAACAATCTCAGAGTTTTCTCCCCAGTGCTTTCTGTCCCAAATGCAATTTATCAGCACTGCTGATAATGGAAGAGAGAAAAAAAATAAGATACTTTTTGCTAAAATTAATTCATTAACTTTTCATACTCACTGGTAGGCCAGGCAGTCCAATTCCTCCCTTTTCTCCGGGCATTCCAGGATCACCTGAGTCTCCTTTTGAGCCCTTAGGACCCTAAAATATGGACTTATTCAGCAAGTCAAGTAAAAAACTAGAGACATCAACAGAATTCTAGCTTTGATCCTAACAAAGAGAGTCATGTGCATGTTATATCTTTGCTAGCAGAATGCAGAAATGCAGACACTATTAGGCCATGAAGTATGCAGCAGCACTATAATGATCTTTATTACTCATAATCATAATACTTAGATTATGAAAACTAAGTTACAATTTGGAACCATGGAAATAATCTCTTAAAACAGCCTATAGTTGCCCACATGTTCTTCACTATATGGCATACACAAAATGTACCTGCTCTCCATCACCTCCTGGAACTCCTGGGGATCCTGGTTCACCCTGCAAGAGATAAGATAGAACTGGATTATCTCAACTGCCCCAGACACCAGAGGAAAGAACCAGAGAAATTCCCATAATTAACAACAACAAAGCTAGAGAATATTCTGTCAAAAGCATATATTTATCATCTATATTAAATAAACAGCCCACGTGATTATGACTATACACAAAGTTTGGGTGGTATAAAGGCCAGACAAGTGCAAAAAAGAAAAGAAAAAGAAGACAAAATCCAAGGAGTGAAAGGACCCCAATCCAATGGAAACTTTGCCAGCTACCAAAATAAATACAGACTCATGCCTCCCGATTTATGGAAGGTAGAGAGAGACTTCACATTGTTTTTCCCTATTATAAATCACCCAGTGAAGGAGTTCACATTCACTACATTGTCTTATGATCAGTTCCTGGGTACCATTCTCCAAGGGAGCAAGTTATGGTGATGGATGGAGTTGATTACATTAGAAACAAGCTCCTGTGATGTTGAATTCTGCTTTACATTGTAAATTTTGAATGAGAATGCTCACCTATAGAAAGGAACACAACCTCTCCCACACTCCAACTTCTCTGTTTTGCTACATACTCCATGTTGCAGAATTGCTGGGTAGATGATAACGCAAAAAGCAATTTCTGCACATTTAACTGTATATGCTATTATCAATTTTCACACAGAATGTACCTTGTTTCTCACAATTTCTCAAAACAATGTACATGTGTATTGTGATGTATTTCCATATGAAATACTGGATAAAGTCTAAAATTGACATGTCTAGTATTGTTATTGAAAATGCACATACTTGCTCTTGGAATAGGGTAGATTTACTGGGAGAAGATGCAGTATCAAGTATTTACGAAATGGGAGAAACATCTCAACTAGTTTAAAAGCATTTAGGGAGAGTTCACTAACTTCAACACTACTTTTTTGAGTATAGGCAAATTTATTATTTACATTTTATAGAAGAGTGCAGCATATGGTACTCATTGTCTCTGTGTGGGCTGCTCACTAACCCTTCTGTACTACTTCTAAGCACCAGCCAGGTGGAATTGGCAGGCTTAGGTTTCCAGCCAGGCTCCTGCCCACATGTGTACGCTGTAATTTTTACTGACATTAGACAATACTGCACTTATTTGGGTGGGTGCCCCATGACAGAAAAGCTGCATTCACATGCACTCACATGGTGGCCAGTGGCCTGGCACACAGTTTTGCCCACCTCACTGCCACTTAGCCAGAAGTGAGGCATGGGAGCTACTGTCTGGTTGTGTGGCTGTTTTGCAAAGTCCTTGGGAGCAACCTCAGTGCCGATCCCTGAGTGAGATGCTTCTGCACTCTTTCAGTACTAATTAATTTTGCTGGTCCTTAGTTAACCATCTCTGTGTAGCAACTAAACAAAGCACCTATTCTGGAAAGCTACATCTCAAGAATCTGGATATAAAGTTGGAAACATGCCATATTTGATAGATTTACAGTTAAACAACTGTGCTGGAAAGCTCCATTTACCTGCACACATACATCATTTAAAAAAATCCCAGAAAATACTCCACCTTTAAGATATAATGAGTAAAGTAAGGAAGATCACCTTTGGCCCTTGCAGCCCTTGGGGTCCTGGTGGTCCTGGTGGTCCCTAAACAGAAACACACAAACTTCTCAGCTTTCAAATAAACTCCTGAAGAACTTGTCATGTAAGCACAGGGTGAATGTTAATACAGCTACTGCAACAAAATGAGTTAGATTTTTAACACAAGGGGAACCAAGACCAGTTATGGACAAGTTGTTAACCTATGACAGCTCTCAACAACAACAACATTACCACAAAAAACAGTGTTAAAATAACAGTAAAACTCAAATTTTATAATAAAATCCTCTGCTCCTATTGATGAAATGGCACTGCTTCCCCTAATGGAAGGGAGACCAAAACCCAGCCCTCACTGCCTGATCCAAAATAATCTGAGACCACGAGAAATCTCCAACCAGTTGTAAAGAGGATTCTGCTGGAAGATGCTAAGTGCATCTGGGGATACTCAGTGCTTTGTGAAATTGCCACGGAATAAACTGTAACCATTTCTTTCATTTCTACCTCAGGCTGTGGACACAGTGTCATGTATCAAACACTGGTCTGGATGGTGCATAGTGGGAATGCTTTAAAAAAACCCCACAACAACATTTAAAAATCCCCTGTATTAAAAATTAATACAAGAAAGAGTATGTCCAGATGGGAAAATACAACTAACAGCAATCTTGCAGAGAAGAACTTGAAACAAAAAAGAATGTGTTTTCCCAGTCTTGTACTTAAATTAACTGAAGTTCTGCCATTAATTCAGAAGGAGCAGAATTGGTTCCATTGTTGCCTCTCAACAATGGGTCCTCTGCTATGGGAACACCAAGCAAAGAAGTCAACACATGTTATGATGAACCAGGTTGACATCCAATGAAGACATGTCCTGAGCTGGCAGAATTATGAACATGCTGCAGCACAAAGAAGTTCTATGGCGCACAGTAAGTCATGCAACAGTAATGAATTACCGTGACAGTCAGGGTGGCAATCCGCTGTTGGCAAAAGGTATTAACAAGAGTTGTCAGTAACAGAATAAAACAATGACACACATAATTCTGTTTCCTATAGTTATAATCTCCACAGAACCTATGCTGCATGTGGGAGACACCACGCCTTCAAAAGCACTAATAAAACCCTTCTTATTTTTAAATTATGGCTTTGTATTAACTGCTTGGTTTCTGTGGGAATTAGATGAAGGCAGTACTTTTGTACAATGCAAGAGATCAAATCAACAATGACTAAATACCAAAATCTAAGCAGAATGCCTCCAAAAGGTAAGAAAACATAACGGGTTGCTGTCTGAAGTTGACCAAAAGATAAGCCCTATGTTTTGTCTGCAGGATTTGCACCAATGTTTAACTAACAAACATGACTTCTGGAGTGGAGAATTTTTTCATCAATTTTCATATAAAAATGCAGTTCAAAATCCAAAACTGCCATTCTACAACCCAGCCATATAAACTTTTCTTATACAATTCTACTTTGAATTCTTGGAAAGACAAAAGATATTTTCATGGTGGAAGGAGGCAAAATACCTTGACCTGTCACAGCTTTTTTTTAACCAAAGAATCTAAAATCAAATGGAAAAGTATTAAAATGGAATTTAAATGCTTGTCTATACTTTTAAACAGAGAAGAACTCCCATATATTGCAGCTCACACATGCTTTCCTTTTGCATGTGAAGAACTTACTGGCCTATGTGGAACAAGAAGTATCTTGCTTTTGTAATTATTATCCAATGTGCAAATAAAAGTTTGCAGATCTTCTGTTTTAAGCTGTAAAAAAAAAATCTCCACATGTCAGTGCAAAAATACGTAGTGTTGGCAAAGATCTGGAGCCTACTCAATACAAAGTACCTGAACAAAGTTGTTTTCTAGCACATGGCTTTAATATACTCATATTCTTTGTATTTCAACATATTAATGGAAATATATCCAGAACTTTAAAAACACTGAAAAGTTCAGGTATGAGCATATCTAGGTATGAAAACCTAAAATAGCCATTGCAAAGAACTGTTTACACGTTCACAGTCTCGGATCCCTTTACAGTGGCTGATATTTTAAAATCTAATGCTGTAGTTTCTACAAAGATTAAACGTTTGAAACAACTGCTTTTTGCCCTGGGAAATTTTGCTGAATAGGTGTGAAGAGCAATTTTGACAGAGAGATTAATTTTGTATTTGATCCTCCTGGTGAAAACCACGTACTCTCAGCAGGGGTCTTGCTCAAACCACGATGACAATTTTAAGATGAGATTATGCACATGAGATTGCATAGGAGGCACAAGGCAAAGTAACTAAATTGCTACACTGCTTCATGATTTATTACTGAATTCTAGCAAGAGACAAGCAATCCGTATCTTGCAAACTCTTGCCAAAATCTTCTTAAATCTGCAGCCCAAATTCTGTGCAAGCTCACAGTTCAGTGCTGAGCTGAAGTTCTCATGTGCTATTGTGAGAGAACTGCAAATCTCAGAGTGCCTAAGAATGTGGCACCAGGAGACTTAGGAATGGGTGTTTGCCATCTGAAAGGACTGAGCTGGATTTGGCAGGGATATTTTTGACTGATCCTACATAATCTTACTTACACCCTCCTTGCACAGCCATTCCCATTAATATCAATTATTTGTTGGCCTGGATCAGAAGGTGATGACATTTGGAACGATTTGCAACGGGATAAAGGCTTTCTAGAATGTTTCAACCACTGCAGAAGGCTTGAGTCCACTTTTAAGGTTGCTTTATGTGCTGCAGCTTTTCTGAGGAAGCTTGAAACTAACACTGATGCCAGAGTTAAATACAAAGACAGAATATAGGAGATACAGAGGCTAAAGCCCCTGCTAAATCTGTCTGGTAACACACAACATGAATTTCAGGCTACTTTAGGCACGTAACTCAGAGAGGGATTTAGATGACTGAAAGTTATGTGTCTGAAGTCCCTTACAAGCAGACCAAATGAGGCAAACATAATGCAGAGCCTCACAACATGTCTATGCAGACCTCCCCACAGACACAATGAAAGAACAGACTCAGCCTTAGTGACATACAAGGCTTTTAGATTTTAGTAAAGGCAGTGAGGTTTTTTTATTTTTTGAAAGCATCTTGGAACCAAATGACTGGTCAGACATTTACCCACTCCCACTGCGTAAATGCAAGAAAAAAGTTCAGTGGCTTCAGTGAGAAAGTGATCAGATCCACAATGAGCCAAATCCAGTCTTCAGTTTCACATAAGCAAGCCATTCACTTTGGTGGAGTTATACTGCACAGAATTTGCATCTGAGTATGCTGCAATGTAAATCACCTTGACTGCAATGACATATGTCATCTTGGTCCTTTGCTTTTATGCAAACACTCATTCATTCTTTTTTTAACCCCACTTTAATCCTCCACACTTTTCTGCACACCAGTCAAAATAGGTTTTCCAGAAATGAATAAGTGAGAAGACTGGTGCTTGGTCTACTTAATGTACTCAAGTTGCTGACTGAATCCACAGCTTGCTAATGGAACCATGTTACATGGTTTCCAAATCTCAAATATTCTGCTTTTTGTGTTTTACAGGAAGAAGAGGAGGAAAACAAGGAAAAAACAGAAAGGTCAATATTATATGAATTGAAAAGCAGACACTTCTGTTGGAACTGTGTATGTGGTTTATTACATTAATTCAGCACTAAACACCAAAGCCAACAATGAATTAGTTTCGTCCTGATTAGGTGATGTCAGTACCCTCCAGGGAACATGAAACTAATTCACTCAGCTAATTTGTATCAGGGAAACAGTTTTTCTAGCAGAGAAAACCTGGTTTCCAAATATAGAAAGCGATACCTGATTAATAAGCTCAACAATTTTGTACATAAAATGTTTTCAAGCTCTAGGCAAAAGAGAAATACAATGCTGTTAAATGACTTTCCCCAGACCAGACAAAGCCAATTCAGCCTTGTTAGGTTAGCATACCTGCAGAGCTTCATGGATATTGCCATTATAATCAATTATCTCTGTTGCACCTTGATCACCCTTCTGTCCAGGTGGTCCCTGTAATACATTTCCCATTAGAATTTTGAGACAACTGATGAAGACTATTTTAGGCTCTTAACTACTGACACATGCTTTGACTTGATTGTGGGGTGTTAGAATCTAAATGTACTCGCAATATACTACTACAAAACACAGAATTTGAAGGAAAACCTTTTTTTAAATAAAGATAAATAAGCAAGTCAGTACAAAGTGACTTGTGCTGCAGTGGAAAAGGAAATACATTAAAACCTCTGAGGGGAGACATTTAAGGATGTTCCTACACTCTAGTTCTCTATTGGCAGTGAACAATGCCAGAACACCTGGCTTGTAACACCCTGCCCACAAAGTGTGGATTGCAGACTGCTCCAAATAGTGGCAAGTGGTGTTAGTCATATTAATGTCCAGTTAGCTGCCATGTTCCAACAGTGTCAAGTGACCAACTTCATCTGGAGCTCTAACTAGAATTACTGCTACAATTTCAGTTCACACAGACTGAATCTAAGGGCACAAAACAAAGAGCTGAGATGAGAAGTAGACTTACCCGTGGACCTGCAGATCCTGTGTCACCTCTCTCACCTGTATCACCCTATATAAAAATGATACATGAAGAAAACAGATATGCCATTTGACAATACATCACATAGTTCTTCCCTTTCAAATATGTTTTCTTACATGAATGGTTTACAGGGCATCTCATCCTAAACAGAATGTGAATCTTATTTAATGAAAGGAAAAAGTCCTTCAAAATCTGTGTACTGGTAGAATCAAGCATGACGCATTTGGTTCTGTGTGAATATTAGAGTATTGCATTGGTCTGCAACAAAAAATTGCAAAGAACCAAAGGAATGGGCAGATTATTTGTGCAACATTCCTATTCTTAATGACACTACTATCAAAAGCTTGAAGAGAATACTAGAGAAATGAAATTACTCAGTCTGAAACCAGTTAAAAACTTCTTCAAATGTGTTTCAAAATATATAAACTTTTCTTTCTGTGATCATGCCTCCACTAACATTTTGAACTTCCCTGGTCTGAGTCACTGCCTCCCCTACAAACACAACTCTACTCTCAGATTTAGAGGTTCTTGATGCCCTTTCTGTGACAGGCTTAAGATCATTACCAGCTTACACACAGCTTTTTTTATTCCTGGCTATTAGTAATATGCTTCAAATAATGGAGGGAATTTCAAACATGTATGCATTCATATCCCAGCAGCCACAATTCATTCCACAGTCACTTTCATAGCAATGTCTTATATTTAAATTTTAATATTACTCAAAATTAATATAGGTAAGAACTGCAAATTTTGCTCCTGTTGACATCTAAAGAACTTTGGTAGAAGTCAGAAGAAGAATTATTAATTCACCATTGGTAACAGAACAGAAAACTTTCTGGTAATAGAAACCACAAAACTTTCATAGAGCTGATGAAGGCATATGGAGAGCAGGCTGGTGGCAGGGCATAATCAAGGTTGTGCCATCTGCCTTTCCCTTCAGTGCTGCTTTGGCAGAAGCTAGTGAAATTGGAACTGTTAAAAAATGAAGTTCCCCACCACTAGACTGACTTCTGTGGGCCAGAATTTCATGACAGGTATGCAGGTAAAATGAAAATCACATATCCTTTTTTGATAAAAAGGGAATTAAAGGGGGTATATTTATAATTTTGGTGTGTGTTGGAAGTGCCCAGGAACTGTAGTCAAATGAGAGGCGGATTTACTTTTCTGCTCTCACTCTGATACCTTAATTCCCTCATCAGTTCCCTTGCCTTCCAACAGTTCCTTCTGGTGGGAATGAATGAGGTTAAATGGCACTTGTTTAATCACATCTTTAAGCACTTAAGGCCCCTCTTCAAGGAGTTTACAAGTACTGCAAACAGTATCACACCAGCCTACACTGTCCTGTCACCCTGATTCTGACAGCAGACCTGTCAATAACCACCTACACAAGGACATTTTCATCCCTCATACCACATGCAGGAATCCAGTGGGGACAGTATTTGCACAGCAGATTAAGTAATAGAAAACCCATACATTTTATCTCTCCATATATGTGAACCAACTATATTTATAGAAAAATAAATGGGTGGAAAGATATAATCGAAAGCATCTTTTTAAAACAGGTAAAACAGCAACACAATCAACAACTCTTGCCTTTGTCAGACTTCTGACCATCATATCTCAGCCTGCAATACTTGGAATGCCTCTGATTCCTAGCTCATCAGAGTTTGGCTCCACAAAATTATTGCAAACCAAATAACAGCACAGTCAAGCACTGGGTCTTGGCATGTGGGAGGACTAACACACATCAGTTACACAGAGAGAAACCAAGTTGCATGAGGGGAACAGCAGCAGAGTGGAATGGATGTTATAACAGAAAAAGGATTAGAATCACAGTGTTCAAAACCCATGTGACATAACTAAACTTTTTATCTAAAATTGAAGGTCAGAAGGTTTCACTTATAAAGAACACTGCAGACTGTTACAGGTTCTTTTAAAGAGAAATGTTACAAATAACTGATTTAAAAAATGTTAATCAGTCCCCTAAAGACAGTTTCTTTACCACTAACCTTTGACCCTTTGGGGCCTCTAGATCCAGGTTCACCTGTTTTCCCCTGTTTGAAGGAAGATAGGAGAAAAATGGTAGAGAAATGGGAGTGCAGAGAAAAAGAAATTAGTAATCACTAACTACAGTTTGGAACAGCAGAAATACCTTATATTTATATTACCAAGATAATGAACTTTTAAGGCATTTATTATTTTAACAGCACCCAGATCAATAAATTCTTTAACACTAGAGTGCCATGGTCACAGATTGCACCCTTCCAAAGGAAAAGTAGTATTGGCATTAGTAAAGATAGGCATCATTATCACTGGTTTTCAGGAATGAGCTATGTCATTCCATTACTCCTGAGAAATGATAGCCAAGAGATAGAGAAGATAGTTAAATATTCTAACAGAAGGAGAATAAAATAAAGTGTTATCACAACATTTCTTCCTAACAGTTCAGGTGAATACGAACCAACTGGCCAAGGATCACAAAATTAACCTTATTGTCTTCAAAATCCATCAGGAAAGAAAAACTTGACAGTACCAACACCAGGGGAAATATTAAGACAATGCTAAAAGTAGTTAGACTGATCTCTTTCTTAGAGAGTTAGAAAACAGCATGCAAAATGGATTTTCTCTGCATTCAATTGCTACAGTGGTCAAAGAGTTCAAACTTCAATGCTGAAAGTTAGGGACCCAGAGGTCAGTACTTCATCTGGAATGAATTAGGCCAATTCCATGACAGTGTATGTAGGTAGTGTCTTTACTTTGCAGACCAAATAAAAGTCCATTCAGACTGCAGTTCACAGCTGTGAACACAAAACTGCCATTGTCTTCTGGACTGAAGGAGAGCATTTGACAGCATTTTCATTTAAAAGTTCACTCACCAAGTTTTGTTCTACTTTTCAGCAGGCAAAGATGTGTTCATAGGTGCAAAACTAACAAAACATTTCCAATGTAAAAATCAGACTGACCTTTGGTCCAGGGATTCCAGGTTCCCCTCGCTCACCCTTCCCAACAGGGCCTGCCTCTCCTCTGTCACCCTATTGAAACAGACACAGGTATATCACAAAATACTGGGCAGCCTTTAGCACACCACCAACTCAGCAGGATCAAAGAAACCAAGCAAACAGCAGAAACAGTGGTTTAGTCTATCTGTATTTTCAGAATCTGGTGTGTAGTATCAAAATTCTGCTTCCTGCACAAAGTTTCAAGTGATCTTCCTAAAAAACCTCATGTTTATGAAAATATAGTTTCTTCAATCATGCCTATTTTGCCTCTTGAACAACTAGATTTGGGGATTCTAACACGAAAAAAGATGACATTAATTCAAGTCATGATGTAACATCTGCCTTCACATTTTTTGAGAGCACCTACATGAATATCTATATATCTATCTCATAGCACTGGTGCATGACTTTTCACATTGTTTCCAGTAGTAGCCTCAGTCTCTCCTGCTTGCTGAGGAAAGCTGAGTTTGACATCAGCTCCAGGGGCTTCACACCAGAGCATTGGCCCATTACCCTTACCTTTGTTCCTGGCAGCCCTGGCAACCCAGGTTCTCCTTGTGGACCAATGAAACCTGGTTCCCCCTTTAAAAACACAATATGAGAGGGTTACTTATTCAGCAGTACACAAGTACAATAACACAAGTTTATTTTGGGTGGTATTTTCCCCTGTACAGCTTACAGCTCTCCAGCTGTGATGCAAGTTACACAGAAGTACTTTTTGCCATGGGTTACTTTCATCAGCACAAATTCCTGCAGCAAGCCCCTACACAGCAGATGAGATGCAAATGAAGCAGAAGGTGTCAAACGTGGGGTTTATGAGGTTAAGGAATGTTAATGCACAACATGGTCTGTAATGTAACACATCAAACTATTATCCAAGCAAGTCTGAAAGCAGGAGGAGAGAGCTGAGTGTTCCTAAATTTAGAAGGGACAGTTCATTTGAGTGATGAGTTTTGAGGTGGTTTCCTGCTTCAGCATGTGAATAGATGGGCAGGGATGCCGTGTGACAAAGCAGTGACAAATGGAGATGGCGCTGTTGTGATGTGTTGTGTCTGCTTTCTAGTCAGAAACCTGCAGTACCAGGGTACTTTCCCATCTCATTCTGACAGTAGAATACTTCAGTTCTCTGCACCCAGACAATTTCTTGGTCTGTAAACAGCTGGGAATGAGCCACACCTCTCCTCGTTCCCCCTCTGTTCTGCCTCCCTTCCTTCTCATTCAATTGTACAAAGAGGACAGAAGAATAGCAAGAATCAAGCAGAGTTGCAGCAGAAGCAGCACTGAGCAGAAGAGTAAGGCCATATTTTATTACCTATCTCCATGTCTAAAGAGAGACAATGCAAGATTAATAAGCCATATGCTTTTCTTCAAAAAATCCCCTGAATAAGCTTTCCTGCTTGTTAATCTTGCATTTTTTTCAGATATATTTGAACCAAGAAGATACATCCACCAACTCTCTTAAATTTTAAAATCAGTTATGCAACCCAATTAATATTTATTTAATTAATCTTTTTGCAATATCCCTGAACCTAATGACTAAAAATTACCCATCAAATGCCTCTTAAAATAGCTAAAAGACAGATCGATCATAATACTGTAGTGATATCATTACTGACAATATACAGAGACTGTGCATTTGAGTAGTTGAATAATATTTCTCTTATCTCTTTCCCTCCTTAGAAATACAGGTATGCTGCACATGGAGAGCAAATTAGAGAGTATTCTTGCACATTCATCTGTGCTCTCATCAGCAATCCATCATTAACAGTTCAAAGCCAAAGAAATCTTCCCTGTGGTTATATCAAGGATGACAGCAAGCTCCCAGGGACCCCCATTTAGCTTATAAAAAAATACAAGCAATAATGAGCTTTCTCACATGAAGTTCCAACTGGCTGTGATTCAAAATATGGTAAAGAAATAAACTGAGACAAACATGTCACAGAGAAGCAAGTGGGGTCTTCTTTTTAGCTCTTGTAAGAAAAAAGAGTTTAGAAGTCTTTATATTAGTACACACCAGCAAGAGTAACATAAGGTTGTCACTGCAGATGGAAGCACTTTAATTTAAGTAAATGAAGAACAATGCAGCTCCAATCATTTATTTTAGAATGAGATGGTCCTCAACAGCCCCATGTTGTTTTAATACTGAATTTGCCCGAGCTAATTTTTTGGCCAGCTTATTATGACTTCAGGCAGAAAAAAAAAATGCAGTGACTACATGATTTTTTTCAGTGGTAAGGCTTAGAAGTGTCACTCAAAGGCTGATGCAGTTTTCGAGTCAAATTCTTTTCTTTGCTCAGGACTATACCAGTTGCACACTAAAAGAAAACTCCTGGCCAAAGTCCAAGAAGCTGCCCCACCTTCCCCCAAAATCTCTAAAGAGAGAAGAAAAAGATGCTTTGCAAAAGCTAGTGGAATTGATAATGGTATAAGTTGGCAGCTTAATTAGCATAAGTAGAATACAGGTCTTACATGGCATAGAGCTTTAAAATGTTTTGAAATGTGGAGTGGAAGAAGTGGTGTGTCAGCAGAGAGCAGGAACTGACAGGGTGAGCAGCAGCTCTGCTGGGAAAGATGCAGGAGTTACAGTGGATGCCAAGCTGAATGTGATCCAACGGGGTATTCTTATCACACATGAAACAAACCGCAGTAGTTAAAACCTGGCTACATAAAGAAAAACATGCAATTCTCCCTCTATCCAGTGCTAGAGAGGATAAGTAGATTAAAAAACAGATCTGATTTGCCATCTGAACTAAGCTTCTAAGTAAAAAGACAACATGTTTGAATGGTTTGAAACTAAGCCATGTCTCCTCTAATATTTCAAATCTCTTGAGTGTAACTACAGCATAAGGCATTAAGTAAAAATGTTAATGTTCATTGGGTATACTTCTGCATCCTGCCATAATATTGATGACTTTGTGCTTTATGCTATCTTTTATGCCACTCAGATAGCAAAAACCCAACCAAACAAAAAAGGAATCTATCAAAATTGGCACTACCAGTGAAATGTGAAATGTTAAGAAAACAGTTTCCTCTCAGTAAGGCATGCTGGTGTCCCAGTTATGCAAAGGCAAGGGAAAGATCTTTATGATTAGTCCATGACACAAAAAAGATTCCAGAGCTGTACAGGAATGTGGTTAGAAAATTAAGACTTATAGGCTTTAGCTTTTTTTTGTAAATATATGACATATTTGATTTAGCTAGCACACAGCAGCAGGAAAGCAAGGGTAAAGGCTGGCTTGGGAGGGCACTGTGGTTTGACAACACTGCAGCTCTGGTGTTCACTGAAGCACCTCCTGTTCATAAGTCTCTTCCTGAAATGAACTCAGAATTTGTTCTAGCTGCCGTGAAAGGCTGAGAGGAACGCAAGGGATCAGAGTCACCAAGACTTGTAATACTTTTCCAAACATCTCACTACAACTTGTCATAATAAAATCAAGGTTTTATCCAGTTAGAATGTGCAGCAATCTTCTTTGCCTGCTAAAGCTGGGACAGGAAACAGAAAATCTGTAATACTGTAATCTGAAGTACAGTTTGGCAGCTGTATAGCAAGTCATCAGCTCTGTCACATATTTTAGTTTTTAGTTTAACCCTTTCGTATAGTTATGAAATCACTGCTTGGAAACTATCACATTGCACAAGATGTCAACAAGGCATATTTCAGCATTCAAACTTCATCCACTGTTAGATTTGGAGCAATTTGTATTAATCACAACACGGGAAACTTGGTTAAAAAAGAAAACAAACAACAAGCTTGTGAATTTCTTCCAGTCTACAGAAGTGATGTGTTATGATATTAAGAATAATTTTTAATGTCTTTATGTGTTAATATTTTAAGAGACTACCCCCATGCATGCTCATTTTCATTCTCAAATATGTGCTGACTGTGGAAATACTCAATGTGGTTAGATAACAAATTAAATACTACCATTTACAAACATTGCTAATGTTAATTTTCACCTCTTATAACAGTCTGAAACAGAAAAATGCCCTATAATGCTGTAAACCTCGTGCAATGTGAGCAGAATCAGAATTTAATATTAAAAAGCCACCTTGTTATTTATTTCATAGGATAGTCAGATTTTTATGAGAGTTATTATCTAGACAATTAGAACTGGTTTTCATGATGATCAAAGCTTTCATGGGCTGAAGCAGAGGCTAGCTTTCATACTAGAGGTTAACCCTAAGAACCACTTTAGTTCACTCTCACTGTCAGCTTTAGGTTTTACAGAACCCACAATGCCTAAAACTTGGACTTTTGCTTAAAAAAGGTACAGCAGTGGAAATTACATTTTCACTGCTGGTTTCTGTTTTAAACATCACTAATTTGGCAAATGTTTATTAACAATGTAGTTCTAATACCATATTTGGTCAGAATTAGCCTCCATTGCACAGCTGGGACACACATCACCATCATTACTTGAAACCCTGTTCTCACAAACACACCTATTCCTCTCCCAGTGCCTGAAATACAAAGCTTTATGCTGATGCAAGCAATCAGCAGAGAACAGCAGTCGTTGGGTACACCGTTTTCCCACAGAAGTTTCTTCCTCCTTTAATCACTCTCCTAATGACTATACAACACATTTTCACATCCAGATCAATGAATCACTGAAAAATAAACCCGTGCTGCAGGAAGACATCCAAACCACAACCTTCCTATAACAATGAAATAAATTCTCTTCCATTTCTGAAATTACCATCCCACTTGTAAGTGCCATTGTTACCTTACTATATTCCAGTTACATCAGATTATTACAATATTTTCTCTATGCTACAGAAATGTGACTAAACCAACCCTTAGACCATGAATTTGAAAGGAGAATGTAATTTCAAGCCTTATTCTTATCTAGTGCAATGCACTAGAACTAGCCAGAGAAATTGAAATGTCTAGCTCTGACCTTTATTACATTGTTCACCAGTCCTGAAAGACTTTGTTCAGTGTTGGTCCCACTGCCAGCACCATGAAGTTCTGTGCCTCCTGGGCTGACTGGCAGGTCCTGCCACAAGGCAGGACACACACAAACATCTCTCCCTGGCATTTTCTTGGAAATCCAAATGTACCAAGGTCAAGGCTCCTGTGTGCACACCTCTGAGTTGGCAAACCACACCAAAGCATCCTGAATTTCTGTGGAGGACTCCAGAAAGGGGGATGTATCCCTCCTTTTCCATTAACAGAAAACCTAGCGGTGTGGGATGGACCATGCTTGAACACATGGCTTTGGACAGGCTTGGAGATTCCAAACTCTTCTCTGCAAGTCTAGTGGACCTCCAAAATTCTTGTCTAGCACGGGCGAGCATGCAAATTCTTCAAGAGTCACAGAATTTGGGAGACCCCAAAGTTCCTTTCTGATGAGGACTGATGTGGAAGAGTCCTCCTTGTGATAACATCAAGAGATCAGTGATTGTCTCCAGTTTTACCCTGGCTCATTGATGAACATATTTAAAACAAAAACAGTATGATGCCCTTTCCTTGCCAAACACTACCAAAAAAATCCTGCAATAATGGGAGCTACAGAAGAGCTATCAAAAAAGACCGCAAACCCAGATGCATGACAATTTGAAGAACAGCTATGAAGCTGTAA